ATTTGAGTAAATTTCATCGATAGATAAAGTACACAATACTAGCTCTTTTAATTCTGTGCAATCATCGTGCTCTTTCGACACTTCGACTTCATTGACATATCGCTCTTTACACATGTTTGCAAAGTGTCCAACTCTATTACAACGATAACACTTCCCATTCCGAGCCCAACATCTTTCACTATTGTTATGCTTACGCCCACATTTAAAACACACACTAACATCACGAGTGCGGCTCTGCTGCGAAAAAGGTACGAACTGTCGTCGCTCACCTCGCTGATACGCCGCCCGAGCCGAGGCCGGCCCCGCACGCATCTCTTCCAACGCCGCGTCCGCGGCCCGGTCACCGCCGCCGCTGCCACCGCATTGCTCCGCCTGCCGACTAGCGGTCTCCGCAGCGCGACACCACGAAACTGTGTCCTCCAGTTCTAACTTCGACTTTGCTAATAATTTTTCTCGCATCTTAAAATCTCTTATGCCTCTTATCAATTGTGTTAAAATAAGGCTATTTTTCAACTGGCCAAAATCACAAGATTTACTTTTTAATTTTAGTGTGCTCAAAAACTTGTCAAAACCTTCCTCCTTTTGATAAGTTTCAAAAAATAAATGTCTTTCATAGTTAACATTACGCGCGGGATCACAATGATTGGCGAATTTCAAGACAAGCTCCTCATATTTTGTCTTAATACTCTCCTCCAAGTCTAATTCATCTAATATTTCACGTCCATACTTCCCAATCACATGCATAAACAACGCGCATTTCTCTCGCGAACTAGCATTGTCCTTACCAGTTGCAATCAAATAATAATCAAAAGCTGATTTCCATTCTCTCCAATTCGTCGCTATATTGCCGTCTTCCTCCATTGCAGCCGGCTGTTGTTACATCGTACCCATTGTATTTTCGGATTTTACTACGCGCTGTTTTTTTTCCGACATTCTTAATGCAATCTACCACTTTAAAAACATTTTTATTGCAAATAAACCACACCTGACACCATGTAATATTTTAAAGAAATATATTTTAAATAAATCAAACATACATTTTAGCATGTCTCACATAAAGTGACGTTTATTCATATCCTTTTAAATACTTAATCTATGTACAGCCAAAGAGGTTGCATATAAGTAAGTATGAATAACTATTCCTACGACACCACATAAGTCACCTATTTCTAGCAAAAACAACATAAGTCAAGAATAAATTTTCATGATTTTTTCATTATTATTATTTATGAATAGTATCTGTTCTTGGATATTTGAATTTTATACAACTCAAATACTAAAGTAAGCGTAAAAAAGTTCTATTTAACTCGATTGTTTGAATATGAACCAGTTTTTATTATTTCCTGAAAAACTCTAATAGTGTGACTTAAGAGGTTTTTGAAATGACTGATTCAATTGTACTTTAACTACTTGTAGTTGGGCGCATTTCTTCGAAGTCTTAATATTTCATAAATAACTAGTTGGTAATTTTTTTTTAAGTTCTCTGTGTACTTAAATTACTATTTCACATTGTGTTTCTTTCAAAACTAAGTACTTGTTTATTTATAAGTTTTACATAGAGCAATCTTGTTTGTTCATAAGTTTTACATACTTTGAAGGGTTTCCCAAAAAAAAATCTAAAATTAATTGTCTTACTTATTATATCCGAGCCGATTTCTTGAAGATCGGATCGACGGCATGCGATCCGATCCGCGGATCGGATCGTGTCATTACAATCCGAAAAATCTGATCGACGACCCGGAACGCACATCCCTAATTTGCTTTTAATGTTCTCCTAAAGGAAAGACAAAGAAAACTAAGTCCTTACAGTCTTATTTGTTGTATGTTTTTCTTTTTCTGTTTTCTATAAGAAAACGGGCGTAACACATTCTATTCTCTATTGTCACATTTCTAGGATTATGTGGCAAAAAAAGGATCGAGTTAGTTTTCATGTTAAATAAAATTCATCAGGCAGGCCAGACGCTTGAGATACCTGCAAAAATATAACGCGCGTTGCTACTTATTTTTTTTTCTAAAACAGTTAAACGGTGGTTTTTAACTTTTAAAGCCTGCGCAGACGAGGGACTTTAGTTCGCTCTCCGCTGATCAGTGGCGTAGCATGGGGGGGCGGGGGGTGCGGTCCGCACCGGGCGGCACTTTGCCAGGGGCGGCGCTGCGGAGGTGGCAGATAGAGAAAAAAAATTAAAATATAAAAAAAAGTTAATTTCTTTCAGTTTTTTGTTGTTGTTACCAAATACCCAGGTACCTATGCAGGTTCTATGCATGGGTGATGCTTTTACCATGCCTCAATTTTTTTATAATGGATTGCAAAAATAAGAGGGCGGCAAATTTGGAATCCGCACCGGGTGCAAGTGACCTATGCTACGCCACTGCCGCTGATGATCGCTTACAAATGCATCGAGTAGGTTCCATACGACGGATTAAAATTACCGCGGACAAAAAGTCCCCGAACTACAGTGCAACCAAGATCTTGTGGCGCGTAGCAGAAGTCGGAATTATTTAAGAATTTATTCTACACCGTCCCCTTCTCAAGGCACGATTGCATCCGATTAAGCCTTAAAGGCCTTCCCGGCCAGAGGCAGTCCCAACGGGTGTTTTTTAGTCAGTAAGAGTCTGACATAACCCTGCAGCCGGCTGTAGGGTATCCATGAGGATTTCTCACCCGCTCCCCCGCCCCGCCTGGGAGGAAACAACCTTTTTAGGGTTCCGTACCCAAAGGGTAAAAACGGGACCGACAAAAAATAGACACTTGAAATAAAATATTTACATAATATTTAGTTGTAATAAAGAGTTTAATTAAAATAAAATGAATATTTAAGGTGGGCGAATATTTAACAGACGCGATTTTGGTACAGAGCCCTTTGTGTGCTAGTAGGACTCGCACTTGGCCGATTTTTTATTTGTTAATGAGAATAGCGCTTAAAAGCCTTTTACATTTCTTATTACTATTTCACAGTTAGGCAAATTATTACAATTCCTTATTAAATAAAAATACCTTATTTTATTAGCAGCCTTTCAGTGTCGTGAAATTGCCACAAGATAACGGTTCAATGAGTTCAACAACTTTACCGAGGACACCGAGAGATCGGACAGGACCAAAGTACGCTAGAGTGCTCGAAAACGCCCTTTCCCGTGTGGGCCGGTACTGCCAAGAGCCGTCCATTTCAATGAGTTATTCGAGGTCGTAGGCATTTGAAAATCCGTATCACGATTCGTCGATATCATTCGACTATCACGATATTTAGCACGAACCAATATCGAATTTGAATAGTTTGCGAGTGCGAAATGTCATTGGTACTGATTTTTAGTTCTTGTTACGACCGTTTTGGCGCTGCTGTTCAAGTTTCCAATGACATTTCGCACTCGCAAACTATTCGAATTCGATATTGGTTCGTGCTAAGGGTACACAGTCGATACATGATATCGTGAATCGTGATCATAGGAAAGTATGCATAAAGTCGGGGGCGGAAGCTAGTTACTTGATAAAAGTAAATAATAAAAAATATATTTTACTCCATCAGAGCTGTTTACTCGCGTTTGTCTTCGAACGGTAATCACACTTATATTATAAAGGCGAAAGTTTGTGTGTGGGTGTTTGCTACTTCTTCACGTCTAAACGGCTAGAACGATTTTGATAAAATTTGGTACGGAGTTAGCTGACTCCCTGGATTAACACATAGGCTACGTTATACTGCGGGAAAATATACCTAATTAACCGCGGGTAACATCGCGGGGCACAGCTAGTTTATAACAATAGAGAGATTAGGCAAATCAAACTCACCGTTTATTATGGGCAAAATATATCATCTATTTACATTTTGAAACAAATAAAATGCCGCTATGAACAATATTCCTTAAAAATAAAATATGCGAGTACTGAAATGAAAAAGACATGCGTAAATAAAACACCATTAATGTACAAGTGTACGGAATGATCACTTTCGTTATATTATGTACTTAATGCATGTTAAATAAAAAAAGGTAAGTGGTAGATGTATTAGGAAAGATTACTGCAATCAAATATTTGGAATTTTAACGTTTATTTGTGAACAACTTTTCCGAAACTATTAAATTTTGAATAGAATCAATTATTTGAAAATGCTTTTAAATTATGGGGACCCATACTGTTAATTCAAAACTATAGAAATAATTGCTGTCTTTACTAAACAAAAAAAAGGCCATCTTAATTTTAAATAATATAAAATATTGCGTTAACTGTGACATTTATTTAATTTGCCCATGAATCTTTCACTTAATTTCATTTATTTTAATCTTAGATTATAGAAACTAGAGAGATATGTTCTTATATCATTCATTACCAACAATAATTATTTTTTAATAACTTGTTACAAAATTAAGTGTAATAAATAATCCACCTCTATTTTACCTAACATTTACCGAGTTAAAATTAAACACTTTCTCCATTTTCTATTATCTAAGTTTCGAAACCACAATTAAGCATTATTTATTCTCTGAAACATCCCAAATAAATATAATTTAAATTTGGTTAAATAAATCAATAGTGCCAATGTGAAGATCCATTCATAGTTCATCAGAAAATACGTAAGTGTAATACGAATAACCACTGGAACTTTTGGCTAGCAATGATGTTTAAAAATTAACATATTATTTAAATTAAAATTGCGTGAGCATACATTTTTGCAATGCTATAATACTTTAGTTTAAAACAATATTTTATGCGAGACCAATAAACCACTGCAAACAAAAAGTTTAGACATACAACTAAACATTAAATTAGTGGTACATGTTTAATCCTAGATGCAACATTTCATTATATAATACACAACACTCCATCACATAAATTTTGATATAATGGGAATACAATCATACACATTAACTATGCATTCATAATATCCTAATGTAATTTTTGGAATTAATATTTCCATGTATTGTACATGCTCTTACATGAGATTGTTCAACCTAGCATAATAACTAACATTCGAAAATAAGCAACATAATTAACTATTGCAGTTTTGAAGCTGTAACACAAAACTGATAATTTTATAACAAAATAAAATTATGTGATACATGAATGAAATTACAAACTAAGTATTTATACTGCAATCAGTTACACTGTAAAGGGCTGTTCTGTAGTAAATATGTAAAAAAAATATTTTCGCATCCTACAATGACAACATTAATTAATTTCTCCTTGGTATACAGTATTAGTCTATGGTGTTGAGTCACCTGCTAGGGTTGTGCAACATATCTCTCGGTATTTGAGCATAGTATAAGCAACGTCCATGGCACTGAGCCGTTGCCTGTAACCACTAGCAGCATTTCTTCTTAGTTTTGTGACTCCTTTTTAGGTGCACTGTATCATTTGAGGTCACATTTTGTCTCTCCTTCATTTCTAATTTTGACCTTAGTACCTGTAATAAAAAAAATTGAATTCAACTTTCACTATCAATCTCATCACCAATGTTCAAATGGTTCTTCTATTAAATGTACTAATATAATAATAAAATCAATATTTCGAACACACACCAATTAACCCATCCCCAAAGTAAGCACTGTAAGGCTTGTATTATGGGATACTAGGGTAATTAATGGATAGAGTACATAGTCTGATACATATATATTTTTTATTTAGAAATACATATTAGAAACATTTGCCTGCCAGGATTCAAACCCGGGACATCTGAGTAGGTGACACCTTGAAAGTACATACCACCCAAGCCACAGAGGTTATCAATCAATATATGGTAAAATTTTAATATTACTATATTTTTGTATTAACTATGCATTATCATAGTTTCCTCTTTCATAATATAACCACATGCCAAATTAGATTTATATTCATCAATTATAAATATTTAATTGTTACCATTTTAGTGATTGTAAGGAACATTTCCTCCACATTGATGTTTTCCTTTGCACTAGTTTCAAACAAAGGTATATTCATTTGATTAGCAAACCTCTGTGCATCTTCTGTAACAACCACCTTTCTTGAAGGGCAATCATTTTTGTTTCCCACTGAAAATTATAAATAATTTATCCTTTAATGAACACATTGTCCTAATAAGGTAAATGTTTATGTATATTTAACAACTACTTTAAAATGATGAGGTTATTGATAGTCATGAATCATCATTGATATTTTCAAGTGTTGATTATATTATAACTCTCTGAATCCATTTCAATAGCCCCACATATTTTTTGCCCTACCTGTTTAGGACTTCTTTTGAATGTTAACAAGAACATAAAACATTAAGAAGCTACTATATTCTGTTACAAATGAATTTAGGTCAAAAGTAAACAAAGAGGTAGGCAAGTCTGATCATAGACAGTTTAGTGACGGGGTTTCAGAGAGCCTTATCAAAATCAATTGATCAATTGAATGATCATATTCTTAGAAATTGTTAAAGATCTATAAGGCTTTATTTGTAGCAGAAATAATTTTTTATTGTCATTACTCAAAATAGAGATTAACTGTATTTGGCAATATAGTTATATGATTTATTGAATATCTAAGTCTCATTAGTTCGACGGCTAATGAGCTAGCAGTATCATACTGTTGAATGTCCTGCATTCAGTTCAGTTACTTTGTTCAACAGTATTCAACTGTTACATTCATTATACAAATGTGAATAAATGTATCTATTTAAATATAAAAATAACCTAAATAAACGCCAGTTTAGAAGATGGGAGGATGAAATCAGCTGTACTCTGGGTCCGTATTGGACAAGAGTTGCAGCTGACAGAGGTGAATGGCATCGGTTAGAGGAGGCCTTTGCCAAAAGGCACACAGAACTGCATGACTTATTCTAAAATGTTTTAATCAATGTTATGTTAAGAAAGTTCTGAAATAAAGGCTATTTTATTTTATTTATTAAATAAACAAATAAGACAAGTAATTATGCATATGTTGGATTACTGATAAAAAATGAAACAGATTTTTGGCTCATAACCACTTATTTAATCAATTCACTATTTGATTATTAACATACTAGCAAACCAGTGAACCAAATGTTCACCAAAACCTGAATAAAAAAAAAATGTATTTAATTAATTGAGAACTTCGGAGATTTTGTGTGGTTTCGTTTGAAATTCGTGATTTCTCGAAAACCGGAAGTGCTACGTTACTCAAATCCGGTTTGTAGTCTTATCAGACTATTCTTAACTTATAACTTAAATATTCTCTTTATCTATCTCTTACGGTTTGGCCGCTGAAACAGCACCACAGACAGACAGACGGACGGACTTGTCTAATAGATAAGAGATCATTTTAAATATACTTTTCAGTGTAAGTGTTCAACCATTCCCATGCAGACAATTCCTATCTGACAAACAACCTTACTTTTCAAATCGAGATTTTATTTATTATTTTTCATAAATTAATAAAGAAATTAGTGCTATAAAAGATAGTGAATTAATAAGTCAAACCCCTAGAAATGTAAATGAATGTGTTGAGAAACGCATTTATGAGTCATTGCATGGGAATTGAGTGTTAAAGTTTTTGTTTACCTTTGGTCTAAATTCATTTGAAACAGACTATACTTATTGTATTTCCTAATGCTAACATAATTTTAAAAAAACATTAAGTAGGTGAATTGTTTGTTATAAAGTAATTATATAACATAATTAACTAGAAATATTATAGCACTGTTTTATGCATACAAAAGAGAAAACAAAAGCATAGTTACCTAATAATGAATTAAATTAAGACCAGTAGATTTCATTAGCCAACAAAACACAAACAATCTCCAACTTTAATAAATTATAATTAAAGTTGAAGGTTTTATGCATTTGTCTGTTGCATTTTTTCTGCCACTTTTGACTGACAGTTACAAAATAACAACATTGTTTCAAAACTTACGAAAATATAAAAAAGTAAGTAGTTTCAAAGCAATCAATTAAAGTTATAATAATATTTTTTAAGCAACTTTTGCAATAGCTGGTCATTGAATGGGTGACAAAAAATATATTATCTCAAGCTCTTTCTGCTTCAGAAAGCTTGTCAAGCCATTAATCCTGGTTACATTTGTAGCTGTTAGCATCCATTAATCTATGATGATCGGAACTGTGGCCTAGCAATGGTAATAGGCTGATGAAAATGAATATGGATTTTAATCTTTTAAATGATAGCTGCAACTTTTTGAGGCTTAAGTGATAAATAAATTTCTTTTACTTAATGGGACAGTAACAATGAATAAGAAATGATATGGAAGCATTACTCCCTAACAAAGGCTGCTAAAACATGGTTCCAAACTCATAAAACTAATCTTCAATACCAATGTGACATGCACACAGACAAAAAATAATACTTTAGACAAATCAAATATCTGCAATTCAATTCAGCTATCCATTTATTGGGTAAGATAATGTCAAACGGAAATCCCAATCAATCCCATGATCAGCATGTTGATTACACTTTTTTCGTCCCTCTCACTTGATCAGCAGTTTGTGTGGAACCGTTTGAAAACTGCACTAAGTTTGTATTCCATATTATTTTGAAATTGTTGTACAGTAATAAATAATATAAACATTTTTTCATGATCTTCGAGATTTACTTGAACATGGAGGAGCTATCATTCTAAACCTTTAATTGGTTTAATATGTTATTATTATTATTATTTAATTACTGCTAAACTATTGATTCATTGTGTAAAATATATGATAAAACTCACCCAAAACTTTGTTTACGACATCACAATTTTGTTCAATCTCATGTAGCCATCGCTTCACATTAGCAAAAGATTCCCCATTAGTGACATCGTAAACAACAATGACTCCGTGAGTTCCTCGATAGTATGTGCTGGTTATGGTCCTGAATCTTTCTTGACCAGCTGTATCCCATATTTGTAACTTCACTCGCTCACCGTTTATTTCTAGAGTTCTTATTTTGAAATCTACACCTATAGTAGTGATATAACTACCAGAAAATGTGTTGTCAGCGAATCGTAGTAACAAACAACTCTTACCGACACCTGGAAAAATAACAAACTTATGAGCAAACTACTGAAAGTCGTTAGGAAGTCGTCACATCCACAGGCCTCGCCCACTCACCACTGTCACCGATAATCAGCAGTTTGAAAAGATGATCAAATTCGCGTGCCATTTTTCTAGTATGTTGCAACTACTTCTCTAATTGGTCATGTGTTTATTGATGACTTTTTAAATGAATTTAAAACAATTTGAATCGAGGAAATTCTAATAAAACGCATGCCGTAAAGCGTTAGGCTTGCGTCACTTTAGAATACGTCCGCCATTATTGTCAAATAATATTTTTAATGTTTTTTTCTTCTTAAAATTTCTTCAATAGTAGTGAAGACAAAGAATGTGAAAAAGTCCCCATTTATACATCCAAGATTATTTAAAACATAAACTTAAATCATTATTATGAATTAAATGTAGGATAATTGGAACGTAAATTAGTTTACAAGTGCACCAGCAGAATGTGCTAAGTTCAATGTTGAAAATTTTCTTGATAAATATGTTCTTTTCCACAAAAACATTGATAATTGCCTGCGTCATTAAATGATTCGATCAAACAATTGCAATTAAAATAAAGTTTATACATTCGAAATCTAAAAAAAAGTCAATGTTTGTACCTTCATCCATACATGAAATTAGTTTTTTAACAAAGTTTGAATTAAATTTGATTGTTTTAAAAAAAACGACAATGAAACAAAAACTTTAAAAAATTTTCATCAATTAATAATATTACTAACGATAATATATAAATAAAACATTTCGATCAATGCTAACTTAAAGTAAAAACACTTGTTAATTTTTTCTCACTGAGTTTTCTTTTTCTTCTTCTTCTTCTTCTCACCTTTTGAGAGTGCTCGATTGTGCGAAGCGTTGCTGTAGTTGAAACATTCAACGTTAAGCATTAATGCGCTGTAGTGTCCAATTGCACACTCAATTACAATAGGTATGAACATAGCCACCTGGGACAAGAAAAGAAGGTACAGACATGAACATCACTAAATAAAAAAGAAACTGGAGTTTTTGGCGGGATTTCATCGAGTGCGGTTGGCGTCTTATTTTAATTATTCTTAAATTCGTTCATAGTGGATACTGTGAAATAAAATTGTAACGTGTAACAACTGTCTGCGTAACTGAAGAATTAGTGGAATCATTAAAATATACGCTATTCCGGTCAAGTGGACGTGAGGATTTTATTGTAGTGTTGACTACCTCACAGAAGCTTATCGAAAAAGCCAACTCTATACATTTCGTGCCAAACACTCCAAGAAACATTAGAATGCGTCACACCGACATTCTAATGTAAAAACAAAATAAGATTAATTTAATTAAAGATTAGGCTGTATGGGCATTGTTCCCTTTGCCTTCCCTAAAACGGGAGAACTTCAACAAAACTGTCAAACTCGAACAAATGAAATCATCAAGCAACTTGTCATGTCGGATACCTACAAAAAGAGATAAATAAAAGGCGTGGTACAGAAATAGCTCATCCATTATAAAATACAATAATGTCAGCAACTTTGAAACCCTATTTAACAGCTGTACGCCATACTCTTACAGCTGCTATGTGTTTAGAACATTTCTCGTCACAAGTTGTAGAGAGATACAATAAGCCAGAAGTCGAGGTTAGAACCAGCAAAGAACTTTTATTAAATCCGGTGATAATCTCGCGAAATGCCAACGAAAAGGTACTGATCGAGTCCTCTATTAACTCGATACGAGTAAGTATTATGATTAAACAAGCAGATGAAATCGAAAAGATACTTTGCAAAAAGTTCATGCGTTTTATGATGATGAGAGCGGAAAACTTTATCGTTTTGAGGCGGAAACCGGTGGAAGGTTACCATATCAGTTTTCTGATTACGAACTTCCATACAGAACAAATGTATAAACATAAGCTCGTCGATTTTGTTATATATTTCATGGAGGAGATTGACAAAGAGATAAGTGAAATGAAACTGGCTGTTAATGCTCGCGCAAGAATTTGCTCAGAAGAATTCTTGAAGAGATTCTAAGACTTGTGGGATAAGTTATAATTTCTGTGCTTTAAGTGTATAATAAATGTAAAAAGTTTAGCCTTACCAATATACATAATTACTTTTGACATGAGTGGCAGAATCAACACATATGAAACTAACTCTAGCAGTCTTGTCTCTCTATCCATTTTGGTTATGACTTATGTACTGATTAATGCACAACTCTAATTATTTTGATTTACTTTTAGAATCAATAGTATGTAAAATATATAATTAGTCACCATTTAACTTGTCAATTTATGGGTAAAATTATAAATTTTGATTAGTTGCCTATAGTTTACTCAAAAAATAGTTAATAAATAGATTGTATTAATTTTAAACATGTAAATTTCCTCACCTATTAAAATTCAAATGAAATATTAAGAATTTCATTATTTTAGAATTATATTAGTTCTATTCTTGTTCACCAAAAATGATTCATCCTAACAGAAAATAAAATAATCATTGATAAAAGATTATTAACCCTTCAATTGCGGGAAAGCCTCCGCCTAAAACACCCCCCGCTTGCGGAACGATTGCGCGGCCGCAGCGCGCGCTCGACGCGGTTTGAAATTTATTCAATAACTTTAATAAATCGTTCGGTCGACATGCAGCAAAATATTTTATTTCAATTATAGATAGTCAATGTACCTTCTTTTTTAGTAATTTCCTATATAAATTGTTTCAACCTTTTTATTTTTAACAGGAAACATAGACAAAATCAATTTCGCACCTTAGGTGGCATAAACGCGATTTGAATAAATTATACGAATACTTGTGCTTTTCATTGATAACCTTTTCAAAGTTGAATAACTAAACAATAGATTTTTGCAAAAAAATAATATACTGTTGTAATATAATGTTGTTAATAAACTGTTTTAAAAATTACTTTTTAGTTGCGAGCTCCCCGATACTCGATTTTAAAATCGTCGTACTAACGGTTGTTTGGTCATAAGAACGACTTCACCACAATGAGTGAATGGTTTATTCATCTGGGTATAAAATTCAAAAGACTTTGAACTGTATTGCATTGTATTTATTCCCAAAATTGCAAAAAATTGAATGCGGGTGACGAGCGAGCAGATCTACACTTGCCCAAACGGACTTTACTCACGAAGGCGTGCAGCGCTGCACTACAGCAATTGAAGGGTTAATTAACAACAAAGCTTTCATGAACTTTTTGTATTACTTATTTTACTTCTAAATTTAATAAATACAGGTATCATCATAGATAACTTAAGATATTAAAATAAGCCATTCCAAATATTTGTATTAATTTTGAATTTCTGACAAATTGTATTATTGTTTTTAAGTTCACAGCTTAGTAGGTATTAGAACACAATTTTATTAGGTCTAGCATCTCATTTTACTATCTAAGGAATTAGGAAAAAATGTAAGAACATAAATGGAAAGGCATTTATTAGTTGGTATCATTTTATTTTGAATAATTTATAAGAACTATCATGCAATAAATTTTTATGAACATGTGTTGATTTATTCTCTTAGATCCTTAAATGCTTAGTTCTAAAAACCAGAATTAACATTTCTAGTTTCACATATTTTGTCCCATCACACAAAAAAATATCACAATATTGCAATTGTAGAAAGTTTACTGTGCATATAATACCGGCACTTTGCTTGGCTATTCCGGTTTGCTATATGTAAACTTGACATCGGCCTGTCCTTTCCATTCTTTATAAAGGCAGACTGTTGTCAAATTTACAAATAGCAAATACGAATGGCCAAGTGGAGTGGTGGCATTATAGTTAATGTCATATACACATTTAGTTTTTAGATTTGGCAGTTCGCAGAGTGAATCCTTCTCCTTTAAATGCTTCAAAAGGCTCTGTTGGTATTTCTTCTTTAGCACTAGTAGGTCGGGAATTTCTGATAAATCTTAATGTGCCAATAACATAATCATAATCAGGTATACCCCTTACATAATTCTGAAAATAATGAAGTCACATTAATAATAGTTATATTCTTTTTGTTATACACCACACACACATATTATAAGCAGCCTTTTGCTGTGGACTAATCTGTACCAGGCAAGCCCAAAATACAAAAATAAATATGAAGGACAAAATGAGGTGTGTACAGTAACATTAATAAAATTGTGTTATGTTTGTATGTATTACATTATTTTTATGGTATGTATTTATTTATATATCTATGTTTTTTGTTTAGCTTTATACCGCCGTTCGTGTTTTTCATTTTTTCCAAAGGTTGACTGGGAGAGAATGCTTTTAGCATTAAGTCCGCCTTTTGTACCATTGTTTATATTTTGGTCAATAAAGTTTAAATACAATAAAATAAATAATAATTTCGATAATAATAAAACAGATATATATATCTAGGTTCTAACATATAAGTACATCTGTTCTTATAGCTCCGCACGTTGCTCTAAGGGTTCCAATCAGGGAAAAGAGGTGGTCAGTGTTCTTTCTCAATGCTTTCACTGCACGAAATATCTTTATAAAAAAATCGAGTTGGCCTTTCTTACCCTAAGGCCAGCGTTGTATATGTGTATATATATTTTTATTTAAGATATTGTTTATTTAAAAAATCCTCATTATGAGTTTCGTAATCTTATCTCTTACTTGTCTCGACTGTGCAGCTTGTTGGTCAGAGTCACTTTCACTTGTGAGTTTTTTCTTTTTACCATCCAGTCTGTTACCCTCCCCACTGAAGGCGACGAAGCCGCTTGGCTCTGGCATCATTGCAGCTGGATCTTCATCCATGCCATCACTACCACTCTCTCCTCTGGTGGGAACTCTTTCTTCTTTGTAACCCACAGGTGGTGCAAATTCAACCTAAGCATATAAGGTATGTTGTTAGTAAAACATTATTCAAAACATGTCAGAAATTTTACAAAGCAACTCACATTCATATCGCATTCGATAATAATAACAGCATCTCCTGGCTTAGTCTCCAACACACACAGCTCGTATACTTTCGAGTTGTACTTGATAGCGATCACATCTCCCGTAGTCAGGCAAGAGAAATTCCTCAGACAGTTTTCCAAAACTAAAGAAAAAGAGAAGTATGTTAGAAGGGTGGTGGGTGATGTAAGTTGCTACCATAGCCTAGGCTATGGTCTTCAAAATCTAGTCTTATGATACAAAAAATATCACAAGAAATAAGATATATAAGTATATTATAATTTTCAAATTATAACAATAATTGTAATATAAATGAGGAGCTGGCAAACAAAACGGTATAATTACATAAAATTAAATTTTACAGGGGCTGTATAAAACTGAATGACATACCTCCAGTGAGCTTTTGTATGGTTTTGGATTTATAAATTTAGTAATTTCAACACTGTTTTACGCGGTTTTGATTAATTTTTAATTTGAGATTCAAATTCAACGGCCCCTAAACCTCCGGACTGCAAGAAAAAAGTAGTTTTACCAGATGCGCAATTATACCGTTTTGTTCGCCAGCTCCTCAATAATAACACCAGCTGCTAACTATTCCATATAGATTGAATTAAGCTATCAAGAGAAAAGATGGTTTCAGAAACTTGTATGTGAAGTGAGAATGCCACACTATAATTAATGGACTTTTAAGCAGATAACAACCGGCAGCCTTTTTTTAAGCTAGAGAAAATTAGTTCTATAAACCCATTTAAAAATTTGATACTGAAAACAAAAAGCATCCAGAAGCAATGTTTGGGATCAAACATAACCGATAGGCCAAGTTTGTAGACAAATGCTTAGGCCCAATCACTGAAAAACATTGCATCATTGTAGCTTTGGAAAGGAGCTCATGCTTGAGTATTTATGCGCTGTTATATTAGATTACCCAATTTCAAGGGACCCTTACCCTGACTAAGGGTGGTGTAATATGAGTAAGAGGGTAAGTGACCCGATCTATGGCGATCGGTGCGACCCAAGGGCGGATTCAGGGGGGGGGGGGGGGTCATGGGGGTCATGACCCCCCCTGGGCTGGGTACAGATGGACCAAACCCAGGGGGATTTTATTTAAGTACTTTCAATATTTAATATACCACGACTATATGACCCCCCCCTGGCGCCAAAGCTGGATCCGCCCTTGGTGCGACCTGATCTCCCTTACGCCCTGACGATAGGGTAGTGAAATACTTGAATTAGGTAATTTATTGGCGCGATGATATCTAATGAAGAGAAAGAAGTGTTACTTCATTTTAATTGAGATCTATAATTTTTGTGGCACAAAGAAATCAAAAACTATTTAAACAACAACAGGGTGAAAAGTGGTAGCGATCACCTAACGGTAAGAAGCACATTGAATATCAATAATAAACTTGAAAGGTCTCAATTGGTGAAGTCATCGCTTCGACCCTCTCCCGCACATATCCAAAACCCTGAAGGTTTCTAATTAGAACTATAGAATCGCTTTCCTGTCTGGAAGATTATCTGTGGACGATATTAACAACAGGTTGGTGGACAGTGTCCACGAAATGGGGTCCAAATTCTTTAAGACCCATAGAACTAAAAGGCACAGAAGTTTCTCTGACCATACTCTCGGACTCACGAGAGAACGGCAAAATATGAGACTCCAGTCTTCAACGGATGCGGCAGCTTACCGGCTAATTAATAGGCAGATCTCCAAATCACAGTCACGCGAACTTAGGTTATTAAACACGGAAAGGATTACAGATACCATTAAGAACAACAGAAGTACAAAAAGTCAGCTGACGTGGCTGAAGACCGAAAACGGTAGTCCCATCACCTCGAGAACTTCTATGGACAGTTGTACACCTCAACACAGAAACCTTTGCTGATTTGGCTAAAGATCCTAGAGCCAAATTAACCCAACTTTATACCGAAGATATCCCGGACGTCAGCCTATACCGGTATAGCTCTCAAACAACTAAAGAACAAGGCGCCAGGGGATGACGAAATCACAGCAGAACTCCTGAAAGCAGGCGGAAAACCAATACGTAAAATCTTTCAGCGATTGTTCAATGCCGTTATCTACAAAGGCATAACGCTAGAGGCATGGCACAGGAGCTGGTGGTACTTTTCTTCAAAAAAGGTGATAACACTCTATTGAAAAAGTACAGATACATCTCACTGCTGAGCCAAGTCTACAAGTTTTCGAGAGTCATTACGGACTGTCTAGCTAATCGCTAATAGGTTAGACGAAATCCAGACTCCTGAACAAGCCGGATTCCCTAAAGGTTTCAGCACCATGGACCACATTCACACGCTGCGGCAGCTTATACAGAAGACCGATGAATATAACCTACCACTATGCTAAGCGTTTGTGGAGTGGAGACATGGACTGCGTTGAGATCTTTGCAGAGTTGCCGTATCGACTAAGCCTACATCCAAATGCTGAAGAGTTTGTATGAAAGCGCTACCATGACAGTCATCATCATCACAGCCCGCATACAAGACCAGACTACGAGACCTATCCAGTTACAGCGAGGAGTGCGACAGGGCGATGTAATACAATTAGTGTTGCCCAAATTCAGTCTTGGTCTTGCAGTCTTGGTCTTGTTCTTGCATTTTTGCAAGACTAAGACCAAGAACAAGACCGCGTATTTTTAGCAAGACCAAGACCAAGACTGACCGTGCAAGACTTGAGCAAGAACAAGACTAATCCGGCAAGATTCTTGCGTCTTGCAGCTAGGACTTAGCGCTATTTCACGGAGTAGTTAGGTATAACAGTTTGGTGTATAGGTACGCTTAGGAATTCAATGAGACGCAAAAAACTATATCAAAGAATATGAAAAACTGGACCTATGGCCATTACGACCAATACAATAAACATACATAGCGAATAAAAAAATATCCATTAAAATCAAACAGAGTGCATGCTAAGATTTGTTTTAACCATCGGCACTTTGATAATGCGGCATCAAAGGTTTTGTACTGACTTCTCAAAGAAATTTGCCGCTTTTCGGAAGTACATGTTGATGATACCTACACGCGCCGGCGGCTTCTATTGAAATCACATACAACAATCGTTGCCGCCGCGCCGAATCACAACATTTGACACTATTTGATTGCCGCCACAGGGCCTAGGTATACCCATGCAGTCTAATTTCGTGTCGTGCCGTCCCACTCACGCTAATACTATTTAATATATGAGCGAGCGAGACGGTACGACACGTACATTGATTTTCGAATTTTAGAGTACAGGTGTTCCAAAGAATAAATAAGTTTCAGAGTGCTTAGAATGGAAACGAATACATTATACTGATCACGCAAGTAGTATTATGATTAGAAAATGGTAAGGATAGGTAGTAGATGTTATAATAATTTATTCTAGTAAGTATATATTATAATATTGATTATATGGGTTTTAACTAATTACTTATTAGTTAAAACCATTACCGGGAAAATATTTCTTAAATTTCTTAATTTTTTACAAGAAAAAATAGCAAAAAAGTGGTCAAATATCACTTATATACATTTTGATAAATATTGTAGCCACTTTTAAATATACTTGAAACATGTAAAAAACATTTATTAATCTGATTGGTCTTTACTATGGCTATGTTAATTCAAGCTCACAATGTTCCAATTCTAATACGTTTTTCTAAGATCTAAAGTAAACTTTTATAAATAGCAATAGTCTAATAGGTAATTGCAAGACTTGCAAGACTCTTGCTGCAAGACCAAGACCAAGACTGGGAGCGCAAGACCAAGACCAAAACCAGGTGTATTGGCGCAAGACCATGACCAAGACTGGCTAAGTCTCGTCTTGTTCTTGCATTTGGGCAACACTAAATACAATGCTCAATGACCTAGCCGAGCCTCCCCCCACCCCCCTTTATCATTTACGTATTTCCCTTTAAATAAAGAGAAAAGTGCCGAAGGATTTAGAGAAGTTTATAAAAATTATCAGAATGCATCCGGGAACGACGACGTTCAACCGAGACGACTTTTACTCAGACTCAGTTAGGGTCCAATTGATAGGGCGGTGTAATAATTGCTACCATAGCTAGGGGATACGCCCACCCTTTCGATAACCCTTAAAATGGGATAGTTTAATTACTATTTTAACAAGAAGATCCAATTTCGAGAAAGAAGTAAACCGCCGAATCCAACTCGGCTGGGCAGCGTTCAGGTACCTTTGCGATGTCTTCATGTCCGTAATACCTCAGTGCATGCAGACCAAGGTCTTCGTACAGTGCGTTTTGCCAGTGATGACATACGGAGCTTAGACGTGGCCGGTGACGATGGGCCTCATAAGAAGGCTCAGTGTCACACAGCGGACGATGGGGAGAGCTATGCTCGGTGTTTCTCTACGTGATTGAATCAGAAATGAGGAAATCCGTAGAAGAACTCGAGTAACCGACATAGCTAAACGGATCGCCATGCTGAAGTGGCAATGCGCGAGGCACATTGTTCGGCGGAACGATGGACTTTGGGGTCCTAAGGTGATTCAATGGCGACCACGCAACGGCAAACGCCGTATCGGTAGACCCCTTACCAGGTGGACTGGCGACATCAAGCGAGTCCAAGGGACCCACTGGATGTGGAAATCTCAGGATCATTGTGTTTGGAGTTCCCTAGAGGAGGCCTATGTCCAGCAGTGGACGTCCATCGGCTGATTATGATGATGATGATGGTAATGATGATTTAAATAAGCCACATATTTAAATAATCTTTCAAAATTAAAATTCAGTAACACTTGTTTCTCTTCATTAAATCAATAAACTAATTTGACTATAAAAACGTCCTTACTATATACACTCTTAGAGCGTCGACTAAGCTCCCTTACTGCCTAACAGCTATTTCACTACCTGATCTTCAGGGAGTAAGGGAGAACTGGTCGCTCTGATCGCCCTAGAATGGGTCCCTTACTCCATAACTCATATTATTAGTCAGGTTGGGGGTCCCTTAGAATTGGGAAGTCTAATAGGAGCATTAACCGTCTCATACCCACTTATCAACAAACGAGGAATAAGCTTCTCTCTTAAGACTCATTATGCTGTGTTTCATTCATATCACTCAAGTGCCATTTGTAATTGAATGAACTGAGACAATACATTGAGTAACTCATCTAAGCTTATTCTTTGTTTATTAAAAAGGGGCATAGTGTTGTATGATGAATGCTTTGGGCATACCCCAAAGTATACAATAATATAAGATGAAATCAAGGAGCTAATAGTTTTAAACAAATCCTTTTCTTACCTGCTTTAGGATTAGTTATGTCTAGGAAGTCTTCAGAAAGAGGTTGGAATCTAGAAAAAGTTGCTACTGGTAGTGACACATTCTCTATTTGCAGTGAGGCACCTTCTTCAAGTAATAAATTAGCCATCATCTGCAGAAAATTGTTTATTAAATAAATTTTGTTTGCATATATTTTACTTTCACAATTCCTACATTAGTGTATTAACAGGACTGTCCAAATGTAGAATTAATAGAGAAGCTTTTCATAGGTATAATTCTGATGGGACAAGTGGATTTATTACTAGAAAATAAAAATACATAAAAATGTATTAAGTAGCATAATTTAAGGAATCAAGTATGTTTTGTATGTATTTTCTTTATTCTACCATAACATAATTTTGGAGTTAATACATCATCCAAGTAAAACAATCATAAAAAGTGTTTTTATTCATGCTATTTTTTACTTTTTAGTTATAGGCAATTGACTTACCCAATGAGGTAAATAAACTTTTCCTTCGTCTGCCACAAATTCCAGGACTCCACAATGTGTAACTCTTTTCATTTTTTTGTTAGTCAACTTAAAAATCATAGGATATTCAATGTTCAATCTAGTAAGTAATTCTAGTGCTGAAGGGGGCATTATAACTGAAATTTAAAGTATTATTCTTAGTAAATAAATATGTTTTACAACAACCAACTGCTAATCACATTGCTACAGACACTTTATTATGATGAAAGGAGGCCCTATTAGAAGTAATGCCCTAAGGTACTGTAAAATAGAAGAATAGAATTTTATTATTATTTCAAATACATGCAATACAAAGTTGATGATATGAAACCAATATTTGTGACACTTACAAATGATTGTGTGTTGCAATCAGAAACAAAATCATTCTTGTTTTAGAAACTGGTTATTATTCCACCAATATTAGCCTTTGTATGGAATCTTATTATGTTTTTATTATTTTTAGGTGGTTTGTTAGGATACTGTCTCCCAAAATAGTTCTATAATTATATGCATATAAAAAGCTTAACAATACAATATATTGAATATACTGAATGTAGTATTTTGTTAATGATATTTTTAATTTAATTTTTGAAATACCATTACCTATTTTATACTTTAAAAGCTTTTATGTAGATAATGAAGTTTATTTCTTCTCCAAATAAGTTTTATTGTCATTTGTCGAGTCTAGGAGAAAGAATGTGCATCTCAGGTATTTGTAAAGGTACCTACAGGATTCTCTTTCGAAAGCAGTGTTTAACTTTGTTTTACCAGGTTTGCGATATTGAATTTCTTACATTAAAGATTAAAACGATGACTAAAACGGACTTACTTTTTCCACCCCTTTCTACATCTTGCCTTTCGTTTCCCGGCAACATAGATACAGAAAAACATCTGTATGTAACATTGAAATTTCTAATTTCGTGAAAAACATTGAAGCCGAACTGAAAACGAAATTTATGTAATATTATTTCAGTTATGAAGCAGTATTCATTACAAGTATTCTATTTACCATTTTAATAGCTGAATCAGTAAGTTAAATATAACGAAAACGGGATTTATTTTTCAATCTGTTATTAAATGATCTTTAAACAACTTTTTAACACTATTTTTCAAATTCTATGTTATGTTTTCGAAAGAAATCAAAGAATCACACAACAGATGATGACAGAATGACAAGCGGATATTTGACAGTTGTCAAATGACAATAGTTTTTTAATCTTCCCTATTGGGAAAGGCAACATGAAGTCGTTCCAAACTTTCGCAACATAGAGGTATAAGAATTCTTATAGATTGAAGAAAATACGGCTGAAGTGTTTATTTTAAATTTCCTCTACGCAGTCCTTCTCGTACTTTCCTGGATCCAACATGCGGAACAGCATTATAAAGTAAAAGAGAACCTGTATCCTCATATCTTTAACGGTTAGCGCTGTCTCGCATGCTGAATCCAGCAAAAAGATTGTGCTTAAATCACTTAATTTTTCAGTAAACTTACAACAGACAGTACGAAATACTCGATTACTGAACGTTCCCAAATGAAACTTTCCTTGTCCGACATCTGCCATTTCATTCATTGTGTATGTGGCAGCCGCGAGTGAGGATTATTCGCCTTAAAAACTTACTACGAAAATAAATCATCAGTCTTATTAGATCCTTAATGTAGAATTTAACAAAATAGTGAGTAAAAATAAATTTTGGTGTTGCAATTGCAATTTAAAACGTTCGTTGTCAATTTTTGTTCGAACACGAACGCCATGTTGATTGTCAAAAGTGTTTTCGGATGAGACAGCAGTGTATTTGATTTCGTGATATTTTTCAGACACCGCGGTTAGAAAGGGTCGCTATTCATTCTGTTTCGTATAGATAGGGTTGAAGAAGCACGCAACCATGGCGCAAATGTTACCTATACGTTTCCAGGAGCATTTACAGGTGAGTACGCCCATCGGTTCTATTGGATTTGCCGATAGTGCTTCCTTGAAGGAAGTCGTTAGTCAGTCGGTGTTCATACTGTATAACCACTAACTTTAAATGCATTTTATCGTTACTGTAAAGAAAAGCGATTGTTAAAAAATGACATTGCGCAATTATAAAATGTCAGTTGTCCACCCCCTATTTCGGTGTAGTTCGGGAGAGAGGCCGGTATTGATTTGTTCCACATTTCCTACTGGATCATGTCATGGTTTTTGGAATGCTTGCCAAATTTGACTATCCAGGTCATTAGAAACAATTAAAACAAAGTATTTCACATAACAATGCCTTGAGAGTTCATTATCTGCCTCTTTGTTTTATAAAGATTCAACTACTTTTATTGTAATTTAGGGATAAAAAAATAATGAATTATTACTTTTCTGTTTATGCTAGTCACTCAACAAAATATATCTTAAACAAAATCAATTAATATTTTCAGACATTACTTAGATGTCTTTTTTTCTTGTTTATAAATGCTATAAAACTACTAGATTGTTAATGATAAGAAACTGTCCATACCATAATGCTTATATAACTTAAGCTATGGGGGTGTGAATTGAAAGAATGTCCTGAATACTAGTATCAACTATTGAATAATCCATCAAATAATAGGGTGGATTACAAAAACAATTTAATCACAATACCTTCTACAAGTGAGTTTTTAATCTGTGAAACTTCTCAACTAGGTAGGTCAACAACACTTTAGACAGCTTTTGTGAAGTTTTATTTAAAAAATCATCTAAAACTCAATTATGACTATGAGCAAGGCATGTTTCTTTGCAAAAAAGCAATGGGGATAAATATAAAGTTTTATTATCTGAGCTATCATTCCTGTTTTGATAACACTTCAAAATAAGAATCATAATTCATTTATTTATTAAACATGTTATAGAGATTACATATCAATAAACCTCAATATAAATTATATTATGTTTTGGATGTCTTTTTCTCCACCTTTGTGAATGACCTCCTCCAGCTCATTCAACATTCATTGTAATCATACATATATTTAAATAAAAAAACTATTTATTTATAGCTTACAAATGTGGGCATCAACCCAGCCTCCATTTCATTCAACACCCTTACAATGGAGTCGGACAAGTTCATTTGTGTCCGTGAGAAGGTTGGAGAGACTGCTGAGGTGGTGATAATCGACATGGCGGATCCCACCACACCCATCCGCAGACCTATAAGCGCTGACTCTGCAATCATGAATCCTGCAAGCAAGGTTATTGCTCTGAAAGGGAAAGCTGGTGTTGAAGGTGAGTACTTGTTTATTCTAGTGAGGTATCACTGTCATTGGATCCTCTAAATTATATAAACAAAAATCTTCTACCAAGTTACATAGTGACAATTGTTATCATTTTTGAGTTAACTAAGTGTGTGTTGCTCCAAAGAGCTAGTTAAAGTAAAATTTTACTATAACTTTGTTTGGTTTCGCTTGGACAGTTAATTGTCACTGTTGAATTATGAGCTCAATTGATTGTTATAGCACAGATATTTCTATTGAATTTAAGCGTCTCTTTAAAAATGTCTACATCATAATTTCTGGCTTCTTTTGACAGTGAGTATGACATTGATTTTTTTTTATTTCTCTTATATAAATTTATTTAACTCATCATTAGTTGTTGTTGTATTTGAGGATTGAATTATATATATTTTAATAAATCAACTGTGTATAATATCTAATTTATACACAGTTGAGTTAGAACATTATATGGTGGACTTTGTGTGTTTTATAAACCTTTATTCCTCTTCATTATTATATGAAATGAATTCAAAATATGTATATGTAATTAACATACATAATGTGTATTACTTTATATTATTGAACAGTTGGAAGAAATAAAATAAAATTTTGTCAGAATTGTTGATACTTTGGTTAATCACATTATTTAACAGGTCTTAACTATTTTTTTAAACTGAATAGATTCTCGGCGTCTATAAAGCGATGTCTACACGCAATGCCTGATTGTTTTCGGCTTGGTTTTTCGTAATGACGTCATCATGATAATGATAAATACTTCAATAAATAAAAATATGTTGAAAAGATTACATACTACAACATCTTGGGGACAATCACCGTCAAGTGCGTGCTCTTAACGGGATGCCACGACAACACCTGCGCTCTCAGTACGTGACCCACGACAATAGCTAACTAGCGCCGAGGTCGGAGTTCGAGTGGTCTAGAAGCTCCAGTCGGAGCGGAGCCAAGATCGCCCCAGTCCCAGAGACGCTCTGTAGTTGAGTCGACTCCCTCAGGTTCGAGTGGTCTAGAAGCTCCAGTAGTAACTCTCCCCGGAATACCTCCAGAGGCATTTGCCAATTCTCCGCTTGAGGTCGCTTTAGGATCTCGTCATCACCAAACCCAGTGACTCTGTAAAGGTCATCTAAGATCAACAGCTTAAGTGTGTATGCTACACTCAAAATCTCAGCACGCACTTGAAGGATCATGGTCCTTGTGAGTGCATGTTGGGTGATTGGTGCAGGAGTTTTATCTGTCGTTATAGTGGGTAGGGAGGGCCATGCTGCACCAGAGAAGAGTCCTCATATCCTCGTTGCAACCCCCGGTCGCGAGGATTGTATTTTGCCTTTATGAATTAGCCAATCAATATCAATTGCAAATGGTCTTTCATCTTCTTTAAACTGGATTTCTTCTGCCACGCAACACTTGGTGCTTCTATTTTGCGTGTGGCGGATGGCTTCAGTCTAACCATCTTGGCTCCTTCTAGGAGCTCAGCAGTAAAATGATGTCATTGCAGGTATAGATTAGTGTCTGCCGGGGGTAACGTGGCAGGTTCTGCAAAGAGGACTGTCGGAAATACCTATGCTAAAAAGGTGTCTATCATGCAGTATGTGTCTTAAAAGGCCATCGGTGCGTTGTGTCGGTGCGAACTTGTGAAAATGGCGGCATTTTATTAAGTTTGTCCCAATCATACTTACTCAAAATCTAAAAAACATGGAGGGCCCATGGCGGACGGTAGAGTGATTCAATTATAGCGGTGCCGCGCGGTCCGACTATATTTGGTTAGGCTTTAGTGGCAGTGCTAGCTTAATAGACGCACTTCAATGTGCGGTGCTGTGCGGCCCGTCGCGGCTGTAGTTTGTGCCAGTCTGAAGAGCACATAATCATTTAAGGAGACACGGGGAGTTGCGTGCGGCGTGGCGTTTTTTCGTTTACAGTTTTTATAATTTATGTTAAAATGGTGGCAGACGTGCTTATGGCCCGCCTGATGGTAAGCGGCCACCGTAGCCTATAGACCCTGACCCCATCACCTAACCTGGGGAGTCATGGAACCTTACTTACCACCAAAAGGTACTGTTATTTTACTGTGGTCTTCTGTAAGTTAAGAAGGTTACTTCCTCAGACGGGCGCTTTAATTAGAGCGGGAAATCCGCTATGCTCTACGTCTCTTAAAACTTGCTTGCAACTTGCACCGCACCATCACATGAGCAAATACAAATATTTATCACAATGTACAATGTTGTTAATGGAGATACGAGGAGTGAAGACTAATGGTAACGGAACAACGCCCGAGCGTTTGCTCTGACGTGTAAAGGTGTTGTTCCACGATCTGTATGGCCGCGGGCGAGGTCGCACCGCGTAGGGTTGACAAACGTATGACAACTCTAACGTTAGAAATTTAGCAGTCTATAGGTACATGATATGTTTAGTAATACTGCGCGGCGTGGCCTCGCCCGGGACAACACAGATCGTAGGACAGCGCCTTAACGTGCACAGCCGCCCGCTGCATAGCGATCGGGTTACTTCTTTTACGAAACGATAAAAATTTTAACACAGAATTACCCATAAAATAAATGTCGATAATGTCATAATTCCATTGCTGTCCCTTCACGTCTGCGTTGTGCGATTTTTACGAGCGCCGTCGCAAAATCAATTTAGTACTGTTGGCGTCTCCTAGTTCAGCGCCGCACGCACTCATCGTGGCTCTATAAAAATCGGCCAAGTGCGAACCGGACTCACGAACGTAGGGTTCCGTACCATTATCTATACAACATTAGATACTATTATTACAATATCGAGCAAAAAACAGGAAAAAAATCACGTCTATTGTATGGGAGCATGAGTATACTATTAAATATTCTGTGATTATTTCAAGCGTCTACCTGTTGCCGGACGGAAGTGTGTAACGACAAGTCGCGAAAGCGCTATTTGATTTGATTTTATTTTTGAGAACATAATGTTCAAATGTTCCTTTTGTGGTAGGTTTTATTTCTTTTTTTTCTAATATAAGGTGAGGTTTCAAATGTTGCACATCATACGCGACTACTTTATTCTAGTTTTAGTTTTAGAATTAAAAAATAACTAATTTTACAAAAAAAAAAATTGTAACAGACAAGTAATACATATTCCAACATAGTCAATACATATTAATTTCCGATTAAGTTTTCAGGAACTTTATCATCAAGAGGTGAAACAGCATTCTTCTTATATATAACCTACGATTCAAAATTTTCTTGTGCACTTGATTTGCATTTGTTATAAATAAAGACTAGTTTTGACTCGTCCAACAGTTCTCTTTGGTATATTAAGAAAGAACCAGTTTTTATTGTTTACATTTTCAGCTTTGTCTCTTTGAATAGTATTGAAATTAGGCAGTGACTCATTGTATATTTTGGCACTAAGCTGGAATAAACACTGCAAAGAATAAATTTTACACTCCTTTCTCTGAAATAAAACAATCGACCTAAATATTATATTATTTCCTTGTCTTACGATGCTACTGTGCCTTACTCGTAAAATCGAAACACTACAGTTATGATTCGTACGATAGTTGCATTCCGGCTGTTCCTTGTCTACTCTTTTAAAGTAAAGGTAGGTATGCGAACGAAGTCATTGGTGTTGGTAGTTGTATATTTTGTTTCTTAGATTTTCATGTAAATCTCAATGCAATTATAAATTTTGTATACGATGATGATTTAAGGTCTGAGATTTCCCCGCTACTCGCCAAATTAGTGTGTCGAGGTCTGGAGGCTCCTTCTAGTCGATCCGATGTAGGGTAGTTAACATACTTCCGGTAATGTCTTTCTCTCCGTCCGTCCGTCCGATTTCACTTTGGCCGGGACAGGACAGGAAACCAAATTAGATAGGAAAAGTTCTTTTATTTATGTCATTTGTACCTGTCATTATTCTTACATATAAAAGTAAGCAAAATTCTGTGTAAATGGTTTTAAGCCTGATAGAGATAGAACGTGGATAAGACATGACTTCGTTTTAGATTATCTATGAACTTTGGTTTAAGTGGGCCCTAATGTTACTGAATACAAATTGTATTTTGATACCAAATGCACTTTCATCTAATTTGGATTTAGTCCAATTCAATTCCCGAATCCGTCCTAGATGGACAAGAGACTCGCCTAGAAAACCACTACGGCCCTTCGCTTTCTAGGCTCAATTTAGACCTTAGTTTATAAGAATCCCAAAGCCCCTAGCTTCGTCACTCTCGCAGCAGGAGTACTTACAAGCGTTTTCTTCGACCTTTGCGACCAAGAGTAATTTCATACTTAAAAATGACGAGTCTTGGTCTTTTCCATAATCCTACAAACTTACTGTTTATTTAATTGGTAAAGCATACTAACTCCTTTTGTGTACTTCGTATTGCTACTACAGTCTATTTTCACGGTATACATTTCATGTTAAACTGTAAAGCCCCTGCTTTTGACAGTTTTGAAAGGTTTTATAGTCCGATACTCAATTAGTGTGTGTGTGAGGCGACCGTGTTGGGATATTCTCACGCCTGACCTCTCAATCGATACGGGTCAAATAACTTGGAATATAATTTATTAATTTCTGACGTTTCTACCATCAATGAGTATGCAGTTTATAAATGAAACTGTATATGGCACGGTATTTATAAAAACCTATGTAGAAGAATAACAATGTGCATTGTTTTTTAATTGCCTACGAGGTGTACATTTCGGTTTCTGAGTTTTCTGTAGATAAGGTGGATCTGGTATTTTTATGTCTTCTAACATGGTGACAATTATCTCATCAAACCATCATTACATCTTAATACACAGACGATATCTTTTCTACAAAAGCAAAATTTGTAAACATTATACATCACCATTTGTGTACATCTGATATTCTAATAAGCAGATAAATTCCACTTTGTATAAAGAGTAATAATAAAAACATATTTGGCTGGGATAGGACCTTAGAGTAAAACAAAAAGGGAATATACGGCACTCGCGGCTCAAAAGAAATCTGCTTAAATTGTGGTGCATGACCACAATTGGCTTTAGTCACAATTGGACATTCAAACACGCTGCATGTGCACTCAATATTGAGTGCACATGCAGCGTGTTTGAATTGTTATATAAAAATATTACGTATATTCTGTGTTATAAAGATAAAACAATGCCTTAGATGCTTTTATAAAGAACACGAATAGTTAAAAATCAAATAACAAATGCCTCGGAAACACTATTCATTATAAAACTGTAAAAAACTCAAAAATCACGGTTTGTCGTGAATGTTATTAACGTAAACGCCATTTTGTTATCAAGAATTCTGCACAACAATACAGCTCAGCCGTGTGGACTTGGAAGCGGACTCGCCGTTTCGCTCGCGCTGCGTTGAAGCGTAAAGTTCCGTCTCGCTCGCTCGATTAAATGTTTATTTACAAACGTTTGCGTGTCTGAGTAGCTTATGTAGTTGAGTCTGATCATATTTTATTTGATGCTAGTATGAGCGTACCGTATCTTCCCTTTTTGTTTTAATCTAAGGGTAGGTCACACAAAAAGTCGTCTGCTGTAGCCTTATAATAATAAAGTAACCATAGCCACCTACGACGGATGCAACTGTTAAAAAAGAAGAAAATTTGGGCAGATTTTCTTGTATTAAAACCAAAAATTAAGTGGTGGATTTTATCTTATGACCAAATTAATAAAAAATACCATTTTTAATCATCTAATTATACAATAAAACATATGCAAGATTCCAAGACACCGGCTTATAGTGTTTTTTTTTTCCACAAAAATGTGACGTCCGCTTTTTATCGAACATTTAGACTCGATAGGTTACTGCAAATGCATGAGTAGAACACCCAGGTGTCAATTCAATTTCCATCCATAGTTTTTTTTTTTTAAATCTTTACTATTACGTGATCTCGAAGGTCAAATCACTGAAAATAATTCCTACAAAAAAAAACTATACGTGATTCAGTTTTAGATTTATTACAGGCGTTACTATTACAGGCGGTACAGGTATTATTCGTTGTTATAGCTACAAATAGCTCGAACTAGAATCTCTGTCAAAAATATTTTTAATTTATATCTATCCTGAGACCCAAGCACGAATTTTGACAGCTCCGTAATAGTATATATATATATAGTAGTCATCGTCAAATTTTATATGAAAACTAAGCAACACTCCAGTTTTCATACAAAGGAGAGTGCACCTTTCATTATTGCGTAATATAGGCGAAATGGGTCATTCTCCTTTGCCGATGACGAGAGGATTAAGCTGTCAAAACTAGTTTTTGTGTGTCGTGTAGTACTACTAGTGCTTGGACCTCTGTTTTGTCGATTCGATACCAGTTACCGTCGTAAATGTTAGCATTATATGTATAAGAAAAAGTATCCGGGAGAAATTAATATAAAATCGTATATATAAAGTGTCCTTTTATGGACAACACTAAATTTGGATTTATGCGTCAGTACCTACATAAAAAATGTATTCTTAAAACCTAGGCCGAACTTGAAAGTAATATTTTTGTGGGCAATGAACATTATTATGAGGAATCTATGTTTACTAGACAGAGATTCTACTTCGAGCTAGAAAAGCTATAAAAAAATAAATAATGATATCGATAAAAACTTTCTTCTTTGATTCTTTATCATTTTTGATTAAACAGAAACATGAAATTATGCGCTAAATTTTTGGAGCAAAAATGACACTGTGCGGCTGTATGAGTCACACAGCATAGCACAGGTCACTGTTTGTCGCGAATGAGTGGGCTTAACCTTGATAATATCACAAGCTGCTTAACAATACACTAACTGTAAATATAACATTGTCTACTACACTCATTTTCGTTTGGCATATCGGAGCCTTTTTTCTTATCTTATAATTTATCGATAATGTAGAATCATGTGAATGTCGACGAACTTTAGTTTTTGTACGCTCGTCAATGACAGTGTTTTATCTATTTTTTTATACTGTAATAAATTATGTCATATTCAACGAGTGACGGTAGAGCAATGTGGGTATGCCACCATGTGACGTAGACTACATTACTTTCATAAAGATAAGATACATACGAAAAAGTGGATATAGGTTTTCCTCACTGTGCCGGACCGGCCAATTTGCCAGTAATCAGCTCCCGGGCTAGTTGTTCACATTAAACCGTATCCAGAAAGAAAACCGGAGCCTGAAGTCCTCGCTTCAGAAGTTAATTTGCGGGTGGCGTGCGGGTGCAGCAAGCAGGGATACCGACGTGAGCTCGTTCACATTACTACCACGAACTCCGGTCCGGGCGTTCCGCTGGGCGCGTTCAATAAAAACGGCGCGGCAATTATGACGGCCCCGGCAAAATGAGAATAACTTCATATACCTCAATCGTACAGCTCTCTAGCCTTTCCGGCAATACTGGACTGGACAATCCGGCGGTCCGTCACAATGAGGAACTTAACTGATGAGTTAAATAATTTTACATGGAAAAGTCTCGTGTCGCCATAAAACTACAAACTTCTAGTTTTAAGGTAGAAAACCAGCACAACAGATTAAAAGGCAATTTTGACGTGACAACGTCTTAAATTAGGTTGCGGCTGGGAGTCACTTATGAAAAAGTGTAACGCTCGGTAACGTTACGATGAGTCTCTCGTGTTAAGTTTAAGTTTACATGTACAATGTTTTAGTAAACAAAATATATTTCTATAGTTAAAATTTGTGCAATTCTTATTTTCATTCAATTCCTTGTTCCTATTGTGCAATTTAATTATATTCATATCAATAAATATTCTACCGAGAAAAAGACGTTGTCACGTAAAATCTTCGCCCGTAAAACCGACTTTACAGGCAACCATTTTTTCTTTAATTTCCAATTATTACGGCCTGAACTGCGTTAATCGCGAGCACGGAGCGGATGTCCGCTCCGCGTGCAGTTTCATATCATATCATATAACAGCCCTGCGATGAGCGACCTGCTTCTCACAGCGCTCACCTCAACTAGTAATATCTATACACTTCACGCGTAACGGACGTCCGCTCCATGTTCCTGCTTAACGCAGCGCACATCCTCAATTTTAACTTTTTGGATTCACAATTTTGAATAATATGAATAATACGCTCATTTCTTGCAGCCCAAAAGACTCTTCAGATCTTCAACATTGAAATGAAGTCAAAAATGAAGGCGCACACCATGACTGAAGACGTCGTGTTTTGGAAGTGGATCTCACTGAACACCCTGGCCCTGGTCACCAAGATGTCGGTGTACCACTGGTCGATGGAAGGGGACTCCACGCCGGTGAAGATGTTCGACAGGCACGCGTCGCTCGCCGACTGTCAGATCATCAACTACAGAACCGACCCGAAACAGCAGTGGCTGTTGCTTGTCGGTAAGTTAAGCCCAATAAATTGTAGTACATTATTTTTGATTTTGTACAGGTGCTTAAAGCCTCGATGACACGGGGCGAGTTTAAGCTACAAGCCAGCGAGTTCGCTAGCAGCTTGGCAACTCCTCGCCTAGTGTCATCGAGTAGCAAATTGTAAAAAGCCGATGCCACGGTTCGAGTTTAGAAACTGCTAGCGAACTCGCAGGCTTGTAGTTTGTAAACTCGCCCTGTGTCATTTAGGCTTAAGATGCACAGTTAGATAAATTATCCTGATATTGTACTGATTGGTGGTATTAACCTTTTTGTAATATTGACCTAATGACTGTTGATAAAAACAAGGCCATTAAAAAAAACGAGCGTCTATCCAGAGTGCCCAACGTTTTTGCTTCAACTTATGTATATTATATATTTAACTTAACGATCTGGTGTACCCGGCGCGGCGCCCGCCAGCTCGTTTTTGTATGACTAGGAGGCAAAGCATTACAGCTGCATAAACACACGCACACACACACACACACACACACACATACATACACACACACACACTTCATAAAGTTATCATGTGACAAATTCACAAAAAACCCTTTTATACAGATTTAGTGTTTGTTTTTCTTTTTTTGTCATTTGTAATTTCTTATCAAATCTCAACTTAATTCTATGTTAGTTAATTATATAGGTATATAGTAACGCCGTTAGTATCTAATGTGTACATAATAAGTTTCTGTAATTGGCCTAAACATAGTATTTATATTTTATTGTGTTACATCCAAAAAAATCGCTGTACAAACTTTGTTCAAAATTAAATAAACGTTTAAAGTATAAACCAGGTAGGCGTCGTGCCTAAACAACATTTATTTATCGCGATAGAATATTGTTATTTGCTTTCTTACTAATGTGGAGTACTTATAAACTTTTACAGTTTATTTTTCATTCTGTTTACTTGGATATTAGTGTTTGCTATTTGCAAACTTGACACCGGTCTGTCCTTTTCACTCCTTTTTTTTGTGTCGCAGGCAAAACTTCTATTTACAGACGACGGCGCCTTTAAGAGGCACACCGCCGAACGGACCTCTCACCTGGCTGCCGCAAGCTTTACGGGCCCCCGCAGTGGCTACGCACTGAGGACCCCGTAACTCTTATGGGCGCTTTACGGTATAATATCCGCTAAAAATCCTGCGAATACCCTCTAAGCTGCTTAGTGCGAAGCCGCAGGATCCCCGTTCAAGGATTCTTCCGAGTCCTTTTCACTTCCTCCTAAAGCGTGATAAGGACAAACTGTTGTCAAGTTTACAAAAAGCCAAGTGGGGTGCCAGCATGAAAGAATGAAAACGATAGATATGAAATCTTATTCGTAATTATTTTTAACAGCTTCTTGATCACGCTATCTCTGTCTTCAGGTATATCCGCACAGCAGAACCGCGTCGTAGGCGCAATGCAGTTGTACTCTGTTGAGCGTAAGTGCTCTCAGCCGATAGAGGGCCACGCGGCCTCCTTTGCCACGTTCAAAGCGGAAGGCAACGCGGAACCGTCCACACTGTTCTGTTTCGCAGTACGGACAGCACAGGGTGGCAAGCTGCATATCATTGGTAAGATTTTAAAATAACATTGATACATACTGTGTCACAGATTTCTATTTCAGATTGAAGCTGAAGGCCTAGTACGAGATAGATAAATGTTTATTATTTACCTCTTAATTTTTTGTGTACCCAACCTTTGAATCTAGAAGAACAAATACCTATTTCGTTTTCGTAAGACAAAAGATGTGAACCCAAGTCGGTAGTGTGTGGGATGCGAACATGAAGCGGTACAGTTCGGCGCGAAAACCATTAACAATCGATACCTTTTGAAGTGATCTACGTGACTTAACGCAAAAGCCTGCAGCGCGAAATTTGACGGCCTCCGTGCCCAAGTTTCTGTGCCCTTATGTACGCCGGGTTTCAAAGTGTCGACTACTCGAGAGGTCCCGAGTTCGAATCCCGGTGGGGGCAGATGTTTGTGCGATGAATACGAGCATTTGTACTATAGTCATAGATGGTTATATGCATTTCTATATATATAAGTATACTAGCTGACCCAGCGAACTTCGTACCGCCATAAAAAAAAAATTAAAAAAACATTGTCCAGCGGACAAAATTGTGAATCTAAACCATTCTCAGATCCCCTTGAACACACACAAAAAATTTCATCAAAATCGGTCCAGTCGTTTAAGACATTTCGCAATCTTAAACTTATCTGTTTCTAATTTCTACATCTAAGTTAATAAATGGACTTTAACAAATGCATAATACTATTTGTATTAAAAATAAATTAACCGACAAATAATTACGAATTACCTTAGTAGCTAAAGTAAATCAAAAATACTATTAGGACAAACAAGATTTTTATGTATTTCACAATGCCATCTACAAATTTGATAAATATATACTGGTGGGCAAGCAAATAAAAGCCAAATTTATCCATATAATTCGACCCACGAACTCCTCACTCACTTGTGGTGATAATAGAAAGGGCCATAAAAATTACGCCCAGTTCGTTACTGATCACATTAGCTCGGCAAAGTAATTTATATAATGATGTACGCTTTATACTCGTGTCTAGCAGTATACCTAGAATGATCCAAATTTTATCCTCTTCCACTACTTGTCACTTTTTTAGGCTATACATACATAGCTTTTAATACTGCATATCTTATTATATACTATATTTATCCACAGAGGTCGGCCAAACCCCAGCTGGCAACCAACCTTTCCCCAAGAAAGCGGTAGACGTGTTCTTCCCAGCCGAAGCACAAAACGACTTCCCTGTAGCGATGCAAGTGTCACCCAAGTATGACGTCATCTACCTCATCACCAAATACGGCTACATACACATGTATGACATTGAGACTGGCACATGTATATACATGAACCGCATTTCTTCAGATACTATCTTCGTGACGGCCCCCCATGAAACCACCGGCGGTATTATTGGTGAGTTAAATATTTTGCGGTTCAGTTTAAATGTCACTTATTTATATTTTAGAATTAATTACAAACGAAGATGGCCTTATTTCTTGTAGACTATTTACGCCTTATTCCAAAACATGGGCTAAAGTTAGTCTTGGTTTAAACTTAATGCAGTCTCTGTCTTCTTTTAAGCAAACATCAGTTTTATACCAGGTTTAACTTGGTCAACTTTTTTATGAGGGGTTAATGTCTGTACCGTTACAGCCAATTATTTAATTATGGATATTTAATCACACTGTTACATAATGAATTCTTCATTTGTATTCTATTTTTGGACATGTTACGACGAGGTTTACGTTACATTGATTAATCGATTTTCAGAGTTTTATGAGAGACGGTAGAATTCCCAAGCACAATAAATTTTCACCTTTTACAGGCTCCATCCTCAAGAGTATGATTTTTAAAAAGCGGCCGTCAAAAAACCTTAATTGAACGTTCAGATACTTCATTGAAAAATTAATTCAAGCATCTCTATGTTCATTAGTTTCTGTGCCCCGCGGTTTATTAGGGTTATTTTCCCGCAGTAAAACCTAGCCTATGTGTTAATCCAGGGTGTCAGCTAACTCCATACCAAATTTTATTAAAATCGCTACGGCCCGCCTACTTTAGACGCGAAGAAGTAACAAACATACACACTCACAAACTTACGTCTTTATAATATTGGTGTGATAATCTTTATGCTATAACACCACAATGGACACAAAAGTAAGATTAATTAAAAATCATACTCTTGAGAACAGAGTCTGTAAAGGATAAAACGAATTCCAAACCTCTTGAAACAGTGTTTTAATCACAATTAGTGAAAATTTCAAAATACTCTTCCCTCACACAGGCGTGAACCGCAAAGGCCAGGTTTTGTCAGTGACAGTAGAGGAGGACTCCATAGTGCCGTACATCAACACTGTGCTTCAGAATCCGGAGTTAGCGCTAAGATTGGCGGTGCGCAACAACCTAGCCGGCGCCGAAGAACTGTTCGTACGCAAGTTCAACATGCTCTTCACTAATGGCCAGTACGGGGAAGCGGCTAAGGTGAGGTTTTGCTTGTTTTCGTGGAATTTTATATGCATATTCAGTAGGTCTGAGAATCAGACTACATCTATTTTTCACCGCCTAAATGTTAAGGGTGGTCAAACCTAAAATTTATTTTTGGACAAAAATTTTTGTTTTTATTTTTTTATGATACATCATACAAAAATACATACAACCCTAAATTTTCACCCTTCTACCACCAACCCTTATTTTTTATTTATGGCGGTATGAAGTTCGCTGGGACAGCTAGTATACCTATAAAAAGGCTCCACGGGGTAAGAAATTGGGTCAAGTTAGGCAACGACGCGAGTGATATTTTTTGTATTGCTAGCGTTTATAGGCTATGGTGGCCGCTTACCCTCAGGCGGGACATATGCTTGTTTGCCACCCTTTTAACAAAAAAATATATGTGATCTGCTTTGGGGCCGTCCATAAATTACGTCATCGATTTTTTCAGATTTTAGACCCCCCCCCCCTACAATCATCCTATCGTCATTTCTTAATGACCCCCCCCCCCCCCCTCTCCCAAAATTGACGTCATTACCAGTTTGACAAAATTAAAACATTGCAGATTTGAGAAAAGCTAGTATTATATGTAATATTATTGTTAGAGTATTTTATCTGTAGTTATTACTGCATTTGTGTACATCTATGTTGCATTATGTATGTTTATTATGAGTTATTTTAGTATTGTACGCGCCTTAGCCGCCTCTCACATTTGCAGTCTCACTAGGTGTGCTGGAAGAAATTTCTTTTTAGAAATAATATTTTTATACGTGAACAATAAACTATAAATAAATAAATAAGAATGACGTCAATTTCGAAACACCCCCCCCCCTAATTTAGAATGACGTAATATATGGACGGCCCCTTTGTTATTGGTTTTTGAGGCTAATTTTAGATTTTTTGGCGCTATTTAATAATTATCTTTATATCAAAATTTTTATGTTTGCATTAAGTAAACTTTCTTTACTCATTCAGGACGGATAAAGAGATCCTCAATTAACTAACTAGCCTTATTAAGCTATTTTAGTCCAGGCGTCCAACATTGCTCAGCACAAAATTTATTTCCTTATGGTTTTTGCTTTTACAAACGTCTTTTTCAACCAACCGATTCGATTGAAAACATGTCAGGTGAATGATGATAATGGTAATTCATTTTAATCAAAACCTAAGACCTCTGTGTAAGTGACACCTTGAAAACCGGTGTACACACTTCCACTTTTCGGAGGTTGGTAGCAGGGTGGTTTGAAAATTCGCTACATTTTTTTTTCAATGTTATAATAATCCTCTCCATCTATTCTACTCTTGCCTTTCCTTGGTTACTATTCTATGATAACTAAGCAACCCGCGCTTAAACGGGTTCAAAAAGCGTCTTTTTTTTATTACTTTTGACGATTTACATTCTTTTCAGGCTGCGTTGTTAGAACTATGATTTTTATTTACTTTGTCGAGCTACCTTTAAAAGACTTTTTTCGAGCGTTCGGATACTTATGAATAAATGAAGCGTATAAATTTAATAGCATTAAAAAAAAGTGTTTATTTATTTGACCCTAACTAACTACCGTAAAAAACCACCGGTTCCAAAATTGGGAGACTTCTGAGAAGAACTGGCGAAACAAACTCGGAGAGTCATTTTGTCTCCGAGTTTGTTTCGCCAGTTCTCAGAGGGTTCTTTCGAAGGTAACTCTTCAAATAAATAAAAATCATAATTCTGATGACTGACGCATTCTGAAAAGGATGCGAAACGTCAAAAAAGTATAAAAAAAAAACTATCCGTTCCATTGTACGAGCGTAATCGCACACCACTCATTAAATAAAAGTATTTAATGAGTGGTGTGCGTGAAAACCTAAGAAAGAAATTCATTTATTATGTTCTTGGCATTTCCATTTTAATATCTTTTTTTGCTTGCATTTCCCCTATTTTCTCTAATCTTATTTTATCTTATTTTTAATGTTTAGGATACTTGTATTCATGTTATGCTGAGTTAAAAAGCTATATTTCATGTTATTATCGTACCCAGGTGGCAGCGATGGCCCCGCGCGGAATCCTGCGCACCCCGCAGACGATCCAACGGTTCCAGCAGGTGCCCACGCAGCCGGGACAGACGTCGCCGCTGCTGCAGTACTTCGGTATCCTGCTGGACCAGGCGCAGCTCAACAAGGTGGAGTCGCTGGAGCTGTGCCGACCCGTGCTGCTGCAAGGTAATGCAACTGTACTATGGGCAGCGATGGCTCCGCAGATGATCTTGTCCAGCAGGCCCCCTACCTGGGGGCCAATCGCCTAACGAGATTGCTATGGCTATCGCTTTTGCTTACGACTTTTTTTTATTTCTGACCTGACCGCTGAAGGTTTTGAAATGCCTCGCGCTCGTTTTTTTTCTTATGCATTGGTAATAACAATATTAAAGAAAATGAGCGTAAGGTATTTGAAAACCTTCGGGGGTCAGAAATAACAAAATGAAATCGTAAGCGATAGCAATTCTTTTATGCAATTGACCCCCAGGTGGATGAACGATCTTGTGGAGGTCGCGGAAAGCGTACGGATGAGAATGGCGCAAGACTGATCGGTGTGATGATGATGAATGGACTTGCGGCCCGCCCGCGACTTTTTTGAAAATGCCTTAAAATAGGGTTTGGTTGTAGAGAGTGAAAATTTAGGGCTGTATGTATTTTTGTGTGATGTATCATAAAAAATGAAAAACAAAAAATTTTTGTACAAAAAAAAAATTTAAGGGTTAACCACCCTTAAATTCTTTTTTGGACATGGGATGATCATGAGGGATGAAAAATAGATATTGTTCGATTCTCAGACATACTGAATAAGTTTCGGAGTATTTCATTTACGAACACCGTGACGAGAATTTTATATATTAGATATTCTATCCGTTCCCCCAGCATCCCATAATACAAGTTTTACAGAGCTTACTTTGGTGGTTGGCTAATTAGTGTGAGTATGGGAAATATTAAATTTACTATATTGTTCGCAGGCCGCAAACAACTATTGGAGAAATGGCTTAAAGAGGAAAAGTTGGAGTGTTCAGAAGAGCTCGGCGACTTGGTGAAACAAGTGGACCCGACACTCGCCCTATCGGTGTATTTACGCGCGAATGTTGCGAGTAAAGTCATACAGTGCTTCGCGGAAACTGGGCAGTTCCAGAAGATCGTACTTTACGCCAAAAAGGTGAGTCTTCAAAGCGTATATTGATTGCTATACCAATGTGTTAAGAAAAAATATATTAACAAAGTATTAGTGACATGACATGAAATTATACCTAATTATAATTGACTTATTAAAGCTGTTTTGAATCGTCCAATATTTTTCCCTACCTATTCAGGAAATCGTTTAGCTGATGAGAAGAATGGGCGCAAGAAACTCATCAGCATTTAACAGAAGTAGCAACATTTACATAAAATTATGTCACTACCATTACAACGCCCACTCACATTGTCCACAGTAATAGTACAGTATAAATACAAACAGTGTTGTTTATATTAATAGTAGTAATATTAGCCTTGACGAACCCCCCCCCCCCCCCCCCCCCCCAATTAATAAACTGTTTTCAAGCTTAGACTAATTACGCCGTGTTTTGTTCATATCACTCCAACGCTTTTTGTAATTCAATGAACAAAGATAAAACATACTCATCTCATACTCTGTTAACGGAGCTCAATTTGTTGCTGTCCTACTCCCTCTCGCCACCTCACTCATTTCCCTCGATACGATAATCAGACTAAAGCAGAAAAAAACAGCAATACGCGTATGAAATGGGGAACTCACTAGAAAGAGAAAACACAGGCAATAACTGTGGGCCTTTTGGCCTATGGTAAACACGCATTGCCATTGACGAAACTCCAGTAGTATTTTGGAAAATAATTCGAACGTAAGATAGATTCTAAGGAATACAATCCCGCAAGATAATTTCAATTCCAATATTTGCGGAATCGATCCACCTTAATCCCGCTGTATCCCGGTATTTGCGGGATAGCGATCTTATGTCAACTGCAACCTGCCAACACGCCACTAATGTTTTTTGGCTGGGTAATAATTTGTTTGGAAATCTATTGTCTATAGGAGTGTACCCTCAAATATCATAGCACTCCTTTTATGCTTTAGTTCTTATATTGTGGCAAATACATGAAACGAGAACGGTAATAGCAATGGCTGAATATAAACAGGGTATAACATGTCTCGTCTTCCTCAGGTCGGATACACTCCAGACTACATATTCCTGCTGCGTTCCGTGATGCGTACTAATCCCGAACAAGGCGCCGGTTTCGCTGGCATGTTGGTAGCTGAAGAACCACCTTTAGCAGACATAAACCAGATTGTGGACGTCTTCATGGAACAGAATATGGTACAGCAATGTACTGCTTTCCTATTGGACGCACTGAAGAACAATAGGCCGGAGGAGGGGCCATTACAAACTAGGTGAGTGCGAAGAATTTAGTAACGTTTATAATAGAAACTTAGTGGCATTGTAGTGTTTATGGAACGGAATATGGTACAGCAATGTACTGCTTTCCTATTGGACGCTCTGAAGAACAATAGGCTGGAGGATGGGCCATTGCAAACAACGTGAGTACGACGAATTTAGTAACGTTTATACTAGAAACTTAGTGGCATTGTAGTGTTGAATAACAATAGACCGGAGGATGGGTCGCTGCAAACAAGGTATGTATGTAAAAGAATATTTAGTAACTTTTCCAGTAGATACTCTGACAAAGAAACTTCATTTAAAACCAGCCTTTGTGTCTTAAGAAATAAAGTACAGGGACCTTATTGTTTCTGCCTACATACAGAGTTCATCTCTCTGTCTTCTAAGATAAGTCTTGTCTTGTCTCTGATAAGAAGACTGGATTATTGCAAAGAGACCATTCCCTATTCCATCCATAGGAAAGGCCTTTTCTCCAGCACTGAGGACATTAATATGGTAGCATTTTTTTTTAATTGACACACCTATTAGCCTAGCCCCAAAGTAAGCACTGTGAAGCTTGTGTTATGAGATACTAGGGTAACGGATAGAATACATATTATGATGTCCTTATTTATTCCTTAACTTCCTCATAGGTTGTTGGAAATGAACCTGATGTCCGCGCCTCAAGTTGCAGACGCCATACTCGGCAACGCAATGTTCACGCACTACGACCGCGCTCACGTTGCGCAGCTTTGCGAGAAGGCGGGACTGTTGCAGAGGGCTCTGGAACACTACACTGACTTGTATGACATCAAGCGAGCAGTGGTATGTATTCACATATAAATCATATCCTACTAATATAATATTATAACTGTACGGTTAATGACATTTTATTTTCCCAAAAGTTTGTGTGTATGCTTTATTTTATTATACTATTTGACGACCTCCGTGGACGAGTGGTTTGCACGCTGCGTTTCATGGTGTCGCCGACTCGAGAGTTCGAATCCCGGTGGGGGCAGATGTTTGTGTGATGAATACAAGCATTTGTACTCCAGTCATGGATGTTTAATAAGTATTTCTATATAAATAAACTTATATATGTTCTGTGTATGTATTCTATCCGTTACCCTAGTATCCCATAACACAAACCTTACAGTGCTTACTTTTGGGACTAGGCTAATTGGTATGAGTGTTGGAAATATTTATTATTATTTATGCTTGTTACTCCGTCACTTAAAATATTTTTAATGGATTGGCATTAAATTTAGTACGCATATAGTTTATGACCTGGATTGAGACATAGGATACTTTTATTATCTCAAAAAATGTGAGATTCCTAAGGGATTCTCAAAAACTAAAGTTAATGCGGACGAAATCACGGGCTGCCACTAGTATTTAATAAAAAATTCCAACACACACCAATTAGCCTATACCTAAGTAAGCACTGTAAAGCTTGTGTTATGGTATACTGGAGTAACGGATAGAATACATATACTTATAAATACATTTTAACATCCATGAATTAGGTACAAATGCTCGTATTCATCATACTAAAATTTGCCCCACCAGGATTCGAGCCAGGGATTTCTCGACTAGGCGACTTGAAACCCGGTGTAAATACCACTCGACCAAGTAGGTCGTCTAATGTAGTTCTTAAGTAATAGCGATTTGTTACATTTTTATTTAAGATTTAAACTGTTAAACTTTGTTTATTATCAAAAGAAAACTTTTACTTGTTCTATCTATCCTAATGAGAAGTTTATAGCGTTTTTATTGCTTATTTAAAAAATTGTCTTTTTGGGATCCAAAATATAATAATATGATGAACAGGAAAAGATTTGTCCCGGAAGAAATTTTAGCAATTCTCGTAACTGATAAATGTCGGTGATCTACTTTTCGCAGTGTTTTAGAACATATTTCTGTATAAATATCTTCCTCTAATAATATTTAAAATAAACATTTAATGTTATCTCAATTCTCGTAGTTCATAATCCTTAAAATATTGTATAAAGTTTTCCAGTCCTTCATAAACCTTCCTATTTACCAGGTACACACTCACTTACTATCCGCCGACTGGCTAGTCTCATACTTCGGCAGTCTCTCCGTGGAAGACTCCTTGGAATGCCTCAAGGCGATGCTCCAGGCGAATATGCGACAGAATCTGCAGATCTGCGTACAAATCGCTACCAAATACCACGAACAGTTGACAACCAAAGCCCTCATCGAGTTGTTCGAGAGCTTCAAGACTTACGAGGGACTGTTCTACTTCCTTGGCTCTATCGTCAACTTTAGCCAAGATCCGGAAGTACATTTCAAGTATATCCAGGTAAAGTGTTTCTTTTTTAATTACTATTTTGTGTACTATAGAAGTACAGAAGCGTTTTCATTTATCTAGATTCAAATTCAATGGTGTCCAGAATCGACACCACTATCTAATTGAAAAATACTATATAAATATTTTGCCACTTTTCAAACAAAATTTAGACCTTTATAAAAATTACCAAGTCCATAAGGTATATATGGTAAGATAAATACCAGATTGTGATTGTATAAAGTTAAAAACCTACTCCACTACCTGAAAAAAAAATTGTGGCTCCTCAAATTGCAGTTTTACTAGCTTAGTGGCCAGAGCTAGCTAGCTAGACAGTGCGGATTGGTGGGTGCTAACGACTGCAGATACATCCCGGACCAACGGCTTAACGTGCCTTCTGAAGCACGGAGGAGGTCGAGATAAATTTTTGGCCACTCATCCAAAGACCGACCACTGTGAACGTTGCTTAACTTCAACTATCGCGGCCGAACGCGCTAACCACTTCCGCCCTTGCGCTCGTTACCAGCGGTAACTTAATTTATCATTATTTATCTTAAGAGCGGTTTTTTTTTATATAGCTAGGTAGGCAAATGACTACCCCACCTGATGTTAAGTGGTGATAAAGTCCAAACGAAAAGGCAGCTCTTACAGCTGTTATAAACTACCACAACAACCATCCTCACCTTGCCGATCTGCAAAAATGCTTCTTTACGCCTCTCTTAAAGGACTCCAAATTGTAGGAAGGAGGGATTACATGCGCGGGCAAAGAATTCCACTTACGAATAGTATGACAAAGAAGACTCATTACTATGTTGCGGTTTGGAAAACCGGTGAATAGGCAACTTAAATCATTATTTATTTTTAGGCGGCTTGCAAGACCGGTCAAATCAAGGAAGTGGAACGCATATGCCGCGAGTCTAACTGCTACAACGCCGAGCGCGTGAAGAACTTCCTCAAGGAGGCCAAATTGCCTGACCAATTGCCACTGATTATAGTGTGCGATCGATTCGACTTCGTGCACGATCTGGTGTTGTATTTGTACAGAAACAGCCTGCAGAAATACATCGAGATTTACGTGCAGAAGGTAAGAGATGTTATTACATTTATACTTACTCTTTTACCTAAAAGAAAAGAGTATATCTCTCTCTGTCCTCTCTCCCTTTGAAATTGCCCGAGCAATTATCACTGATTATAGTGTGCGGCCGATTCAACTTCTTGCATCATGTGCTGTTGTATACGTACAGAAACAGCCTGCAGAAATACATCGAGATTTTCGTACAGAAGTTAAATGATCTTGTCGCTTTTAAACTCTTTTTCCTAAAAGAAACTAATCTCTCTCTCTCTCTCTCTCTCTATCTCTCTTTGGAGTCGAGTACACCCGTATTCGGGTAATTTTCGTTTTAGTTACCCGACACTGTCTTCCGGCACGAATTCGAGTAAAGTCTTTCGTGCACCCGAATACGGGCTAACGACCAAGTGTAATTAAGCCATTAGTCTTGGTTTAAACCTAATGTTGTCTCTGTCTTCTTTTTAGCAAATTAAAGTGACAGCGTTTTATAAAAAAGTGGTATGTATCAGAATCAAAGTGTTAATTGTGATATTTGAATTGCGATTCCCAGGTGAATCCATCGCGCCTCCCAGTAGTAGTGGGTGGTCTCTTAGACGTGGACTGTGCAGAAGATATCATCAAGAATCTAATTCTAGTGGTGCGCGGACAGTTCTCTACTGATGAATTAGTCGCTGAAGTTGAGAAGAGAAACAGGTATGTGTAAACATAACAATAACCTAAAATTTAATTTGACAACAGTGCATCCTTGTCATTCTCTATACAGAATGAAAATGAAAGACTGACCCAACGAATTAGAAATGATATGGAATCATTGCTCTCTGACAAATTCGCTAAAAACATGGTTACAAACTCATAAAGTAAAGTTCAAAACTAACGCAACACTTACACAGACAAAACAAAATACTTTGGCAAATCAAATATTTGCAAATGAATTTTGGGTGTCCATTTATTGGGTAACATAATGTTTAACAGAAATCCCAACCAATCCCATGATCGGCGTGTTGGTCGTAGTTTTTTCGCCCCGCCCACTTGTTCGCAGTTGCAGCAGTCATATTATTTCTAATTCGTCGTTCCCACCTTAATGTTGTTCAAATAAAAGCTGAATAAAAGATGTCTGGGACACCTTTAGTTGATTGATATTGGTGCCAATTCTGGCGTGATTCTCTAAACTTAAAACTAAATTTAACATCAGTCTCTCCTTTTCATTCTGTATAGAGAATGACAAGGATATACTACTGTCAAATTTAAGTTTAGGTTTAGAGAATCATGCTAGAATCGACACCACTGTTATGATAAGTTCCGAAAAACTGTCCCGAAAATGTCATTGCGATAAATGATAAAACAATGTTGTTTGTACGAATAATTTATTGCTACTGTTCAATTAACGTAAAAAAGACATAAACGAGTCTCGCGCAGCGCCGACGTTAGCGAAATACTAAAACATATAGATTGTACGGGTTTGCTCATATAGTTTACCTTTTGTTGCTCAGAATATAAAATATTTATATCGATGTGTTGTTTAGGTTGAAGCTTCTATTGCCGTGGTTAGAGACTCGAGTACACGAGGGTTGTAACGAACCCGCTACACACAACGCCTTGGCCAAGATCTACATAGACTCGAATAATAACCCGGAGAGATTCCTGAAGGAGAATCAATGGTAAAGTACTTTGTTACTACTCGATTTTTACTTTGTACAATTAATTCATGCTTGAATCATCATCATCATTTTATTGTCTGATTAGGTCTGTTCTCTTAAGGAACTCTTGACAGATCCAGACACACTAGAACTAAATCTCAATTGATTCAATACAACATCTTTAAATATGGCATCATTTCCGTGAATAAAATCACCACATACTATATTCTACAACTATCACATCTGTAAATGTTAATTTAAGTGTAGATTTTTTTAATAGCGTATGAATATCGTAATAATCCACCATAATATTTTTCTGAAATATGAACTCAAAATTTGGTTAATTTTAGCCTTGATTTATTTGGATATAAACTGTCATTTGAATAGACATAAAAACAGTCACAGAACTAGTTTTAAATACGTATTTTTGTTTCTTAGGTTTTCACGCACATCACTCATTAAATAAAACAGTTTTTACGGGTTATATGCACTAAATTTATTTATTTATTGATGTTTCGCACCCTTTTCAGGAGTGCATCATCGGAATAATCGCATTTTTGTTTGACCAGGTACGATTCACGCGTTGTAGGCCGATACTGCGAGAAGCGCGATCCTCACCTAGCTTGCGTCGCTTACGAGCGCGGGCAATGCGATCGCGAACTGATAGCTGTCTGCAATGACAACTCGCTGTTCAAGACTCAGGCGCGATACCTGGTCCGGAGACGCGACCAGGAACTGTGGCTAGAAGTCCTCGCCGAGTCCAACCCATTCAAGAGGCAGCTCATCGACCAGGTACTGTGTCACTGTAACGATACTAGGTATGATACCTGATGTGGAGACGCCACCAGGAACTGTGGCTAGAAGTCCTCGCCGAGTCCAACCCGTACAAGAGGCAGCTCATCAACCAGGTACTGTGTCACTGTGATGATACTAGGTATGATACCTCGTATGGAGACGCCACCAGGAACTGTGGCTAGAAGTCCTTGCCGAGTCCAACCCGTACAAGAGAAAAAGAATTTTCAAAACAACTTTAGTAAATCCAGAGATTACCACCTCACAAACTTTACCTTTTTATAATATTAGTATAGATGTCCCTGATCCAGTGCCAGATCGACGACTGCTACTTGTGTATAGTGCGCCAAGGATCTTTATGAATGTGGCGAAACTTGGAACCGACGCCGCTGTCTTTGTAAACGTCATATTTTGTATGTCATTTACGGTAATTTACGTAGACAATGGTGTCGATTCTGGAATGATTCTCTAATCTTAAAAGTAAATTTAAAATCAGTCTCTCGTTTTCATTCTGTATAGAGAATGACAAGGAATCATTGTTGTCAAATTTAAGTTTAGATTTAGAGAATCATGCCAGAATCAACACCAGTGGCGCCCAATACAGCTACATAATCTAGAATACGTACAATAAATTTAAAATTTTAACCTTTCCAGGTGGTTCAAACGGCTCTCTCCGAGACTCAAGACCCCGAAGACATCTCCGTGACAGTGAAGGCCTTCATGACAGCCGACTTACCCAACGAACTCATCGAGCTGTTGGAGAAGATCGTCCTCGACAACTCTGTGTTCTCAGACCACAGGAACTTACAGAATCTACTCATACTTACAGGTTAAAACTGATTTATTATTAGTTCTTTCACTATATGTTTTATTGAAGTCGGTATCGTTATCTCTACGTTACAGTAGTCTATGATTGTAGAAGTTGAGCAGCTTTCACCAGTCATCGGTTTTGAGTGAAAGAATCTATTATCTCTAACGTTCTCAATGATTTAGTGGGCACGTTAATCCTTAGGTTCCAGCCGTATCTACAGTCGCTAGAAACTATAGTGAGAATCTTTGATTATATCACCCTAGACACCGAATGCGGCACAAAAAATATCTACTACATATGGCAGATATGCTCGTACACACGCGCGCACATTGACTAGAGATGGGCGTTATTAGATATTTGTAAAATCGATGCACATCAGTAACAGATAAATCGCATCCTATGCGCGCATCGATGCTAAGTGAATATCTGTTTCGTAGGATAACAGGATACGATGCGATATGAATTACGACAGATGCGTGTTTTGTGTGGGTGTGTCTCTTCAATTCCATGAATCATGACTTGAAAATATAATCGATACCATCTATTTACTTTTCGGTATGGTAACTAAAAATATTGAATGACTGCAAAATTATTATATAAAAATTGCACTCAGAGCGTAGGTTTTGAACGCAGTCCAGTACCACAAACTTTTCTGTGCCGGTGGCAACATATTTAACTACAATTTATCCGTAGCATTTTGACATTTGTTCACCGCTAGCGACATCTCCACCGGCACAGTTAAGTTTATGGCACTGTTGCTATAGTAACGTTGACAAAAACTAGATGGCATCGGCATCCAGTCGCATCGGATGCGCGCATCCAAACCTGGCATTGTTATCGCGCATCGTTTTTCTAAAAACGCCCACCCCTGACATTGACTGCTTTAGTACAATCTGACATTAGAATCACGCACAAATTGCGCGAAACATGAGCCCTTTCCTTGCGTGCTTTATTTGGATTGCTCAATATAGGCGTATAAATAATCAAAGGTGAGAATCAAACTTTGTGGCGTTTGTGTTATCATCAAGTGCAACTATGTTCAGATTTTGTACGGCAGTAAACATTTCGTTTGCTGCGCAGCGACTTGCGCTACCTTCACAACCGTCATTAAGTTTGATTGGCACGAAATTTGTTATGGGCTCGCGTGATGGATTAGTCATTGAAAACCTGTTCTCCTGAAGCCTGTGCTTAAAAAAATGCCTTAGAAACAGTTATGTTTGTTTCTATGTTTTTTTATTATTAAGAATATAATAATAACAATTGCTAAGACACGGAACCATATTATTTCTTACTTTTTTTTACGGAGGTTTGATTATTAAAACTCGGCTTTAATCGACATTAGTTGTTTTACTAAAGAACACCTTATTGTTATAGCAATAAAGGCCGATCGGTCTCGCGTGATGGAGTATATTAATCGATTGGACAACTACGACGCGCCCGATATCGCCAATATTGCCATCAACAACGAATTATACGAGGAGGCGTTTGCTATATTCAAGAAGTTTGACGTCAACACTTCTGCCATACAGGTATGTTTATGTCTCACAAGCTTCCATAAAATACCAAACATTTGCAAGCTTTATTTAAAAGATATTATCTTACATTGTTAACTTACAATTACAAAATTACATCTACATTACATGTAAAGGTATTAATTTGACATTGTGGGTTACCTACAATGCGAAGAGATGGCGCTGCCTTGCAGCTTAAGAAAGGCTAGAAGGAATTCGACACTACCATCTGGGCCGCGGAAGCATAATAGCCAGTGCATTCGCCCGGATAGCGAAGGGCGCGGTTTCGAGTCCCGTCTGCTGCCTTCTTTTCTTTAGATTTAGGGTGTATTCCGTAATATATACCAGTATACTGGCCAGTGCTAATGACGTCATGAATCGATGCTATACTGTGTAGTTAATAATATAAAAAAAATAAACTTATTGTTGATTGAAATAAGATTCATGTCTCTTTGCAATATTTGTTTTTCAGAAACGTAAAGTAAAAGTGAAACTTATGCCCACTTATTCCAAAACGCGGACAAAAGTTAGTCTTGGTTTCAACCTAATGCTGTCTCTGTCTTCTTATTAGCAAACAAAAGTGACAGCATTAATTTTAGACCACATTTAACTTAAGTCAACGTTTTGTAATAAGGCGGATAAAATGTCATTTATAAAAGTTATAAATTAGACTTCACAAAATCCACTTTAATTTTAATAGAAAACAATTTACAAATAACTCTTAATAAACTTTCTATATTTAAATATTGTGACATTCAGGTGTTGATTGAGCAAGTGAAGGACTTGGAAAGGGCTTACGAATTCGCCGAGCGATGCAACGAGCCCGGAGTATGGTCCCAATTGGCAAAGGCCCAGCTTCAGCAAGGTCTCGTGAAGGAAGCCATAGATTCTTATATCAAGGCTGATGATCCTTCCGCGTATATGGATGTAGTTAGCACGGCGACTCAAGAACAATCGTGGGAAGACTTAGTGCGGTACTTACAGGTAAATTGGTTTACTGATTAACATAAATTTAAACTTTGTTTAAATCTTATTGTTATTGATGAATATTCAGTTATATATATATATATAGTTGTGTTTATTTTTAATTCTTCCAACCTTTAAACTAAGCTAACATGGTTTTAGGGGTTATGATTTTAGATTTGGTGACCCTAGATACACCAACACGTACAAAATCGTACCCGAAACCTATTCAAAAGGTACATTGGACGATCCAGGGAGCTCCGTAAGATGATCGCGTAGTCAAAAACAATATAAGGCATTATTTTAAATATAGTATAGACCTTATTTCTTTGATTCTACGCGCAATTCTGAATGCGCTGTTAGGAAAATAGCATTTACGGACCGCGAGGAAAAGAGACGATTATATTATCGACCATGCATTTGACTATCACAAATAATCTATTAAATCAGTTTATAGTAATTATTAGAACAAAATTTGCTTTAAATGCGTTAAATTAACAAACATTGATTAGATACCTGTCGAAAAAACGACACTGATAAGTATTTTTATTTCGCAATTTTTACGGAACTCTGCGGCATCTTGACTTTTCTACGGTCCGCGCGTGACTGTGAACCAAGTGCTTAAGTCGTGTTCAAGCACTTCTTGATTGGGACACATTTTGAGCTCACGTGGTGTATCTAGGGTATTTAAAATCGTTGGCTCATACAATTTAATCTCTATTGAATCTTAGTAATACAAATGACTAAAATCTTTATAAATACTGGCATACATATTGTGTAAAGTATATACTGATGTCGATTCTGGCATGATTATTTAAACTAAATGTAAATTAGTCTCTCCTTTTCATTCTGTGTAGAGAACGACAAGGATACACTGTTGTCAAAAATAATTTTAGATTTAGAGAATCATGCCAGAATCTAAATCACTGAATCACCATTCATTAAACAGCATTTATATTCGATTTGTAATCACAGATGGCCCGCAAGAAGGCGCGCGAATCCTACATAGAATCGGAGTTGATATATGCTTACGCCCGTACCGGCCGTTTGGCCGACTTGGAAGAATTTATATCGGGACCCAACCACGCCGATATACAGAAGATAGGCGACCGATGCTTCGACGATAAGATGTACAATGCTGCTAAATTGCTGTACAATAACGTCAGCAATTTTGCCCGATTGGCCATCACATTGGTGCATCTCAAGGAGTTCCAGGGTGAGCATTTTCTGTAGTTGTAAGACTGAAATTCGTTATTGAGAGGTCATAAAGGCCCCAATTAAATAGACAAATTGCTGTACAATAACGTCAGCAAATTCACCCGATCGGCCATCACTTCCGTGCATCTCGAGGAGTTCCAGGGTGTGTATTTTCTATAGTTGTAAGATTATGATTCAGTGACGTCATTAGCTGATTAGTGAGAGGTCATAACGGCCCCTAATACATAGCCAGATTGTTCTACAATAACGTCAGCAATTTTGCCCGATTGACGATCGATGATCATTGGTGCATCATGATTGATGATCATTGGTGCATCTCAAGGAGTTCCAGGGTGTGTATTTTCTATAGTTGTAAGATTATGATTCCGTGACGTCATTAGCTGATTAGTGAGAGGTCATAACGGCCCCAAATACATAGCCAGATTGTTCTACAATAACGTCAGCAAATTCACCCGATCGGCCATCACTTCCGTGCATCTCAAGGAGTTCCAGGGTGTGTATTTTCTATAGTTGTAAGTAGGGTTGCAACGATATATCGGAATATCGATAATATCGAGACCAAAATATCGATATTTATATCGATATTTAAAATTCACTGATATCGATAATATCGATATCGGAAATTCCAAAATATCGATATTTCGTAGACTAAATTTAAACACAATAATATCAATTAATTTACCTGTTATGAGTACCTATCTAAATTGAATAATATCGAAATAACTATTGCTTTGAAATCGCAAGAGCTTATAGATGTATTAAAAAAATCTTGAACCCCAAGAAAAATACTAAACTGGTGTGGATTCTGGGATGATTCTCTCAACCTAAAATTAAATTTGACAACTGTGTATCCTTGTCATTCTCTATACAGAATGACAAGGAGAGACTGATGTTAAATTTAGTTTTTTTTTTACATTAAATAGGCTTACGCGTGACGGCCACGCGACTGATGAAAAGCGACGTAGCAGCCTAAGGTGGGACGCGCTTGCCTAGAAGAAACCGATTGACTCGCGACTTTAAGTTTAGATAATCATGCCAGAATCGACACCAACGTATATAGGTATAATCGTATACCTAATGGTAACTCATGCACTTAAATAAAATCCTTGCCTCTCTTTCTAGATAATTGTCAACTACTGATTAATTGAAATTAAATATCATTGTAATATAACACAAAATAAAATTAAGAATCTTATACAAATCGTAAATTTTTAAGCTCGCCAAGTCAAGAAAGTAAGATAGGTATAGTAATTTTTGAAGCTTTGGGCTTACCCTATTCTGAAGCCATGGGCACGCCCCTGATGTGTGGGAGACTAAGCAATTTGCGTATTTGATGTGCGCTAAAAAACCGACATAGCTTGGAAAAGCACGAATGTAGTGAAAACTTAGCGAAGGCATTCGCAAATGTCGTCCCACATATGCGGGTTGGCGCATTCGTGCTAACAAATGTGAGTGATCTGATCAGTATAATAATTTTAATTTTTTGGTTTCCTGTCGTGGATGAAACACAAATGGTGCGAGCCAAAAAAAATCCTGCTTGGCGCGATTTCATCAAGCGTGTTTAAAGAAAAAGCTGGCTCAATGCATTTTGCGAGAAACTCGCCAACAAACATATGAATGTGTCACACTCACTCCGTGTTCTAATGTCAATAAAAAAAAATATCGATATATCGATAATATCGAGTTAAAATGGTCGATATATCGGATATCGATATTTTCCTGACTTCGATATAAATATCGATATAATATCGATATTTCAAAAGACTTTGCATCCCTAGTTGTAAGATTATGATTCAGTGACGTCATTAGCTGATTAGTGAGAGGTCAAAACGGCCCCAAATACAAAGCCAAATTGCTGTACAGTAATGGCAGCAATTTTGCCCGATTGGCGATCACATTGGTGCATCTTAAGAAGTTCCAGGGTAAGTATTTCCTATAGTTGTAAGGCAGAGACACTAACGTCATCAGCAGATTTTTTAAATATCTAGAGATAGGCGACCGCTTTTTCGACCGATATTAATTGTGGACCTCCTCTAAAAAAACTAAATTAATCCTTTTCGACGCGCTTATACCGATTTATATATTCGCGCCATAAGTTATTGGCAGAGTATCATACAAAGATATACTTGTACACCCAGGCAAACTTATTCCCCCTTATTAATAAACGAAGACTACGCTTGGACTAGTTACTCCATGTCTATTGAATGACAAATGGCACTTGAGTGACATGAACAGAGCTTAAGCGTTTATTCCATACCATCCTGACTTAATTCAGACGTCCTAGTTAGGATCCTAAAAAGAATGCTAATTAGAAGCTTCTGATTACACTTGACTAATTAGTTACTGATTCAGTCGGTTACAAGCGCGCGGCGAATGCAGTCGGGACTTTTTCGTAATGGCTCCAGTCCTGGCAAAGCAACAAAAAATCTGTTTTCTCGTAGGCCTGGCCGTTGGCTCAATAAAAACAAAATAAAGTAAAAAACGAAAAACGTGTAAGAATATTAATGTTATTTTTATCGTTTTTGTTCCAAAGATATGGCATATGTTGATACAATTCCATTATGTTACTCATAACTTCTTTTTCTTTGACCGCCGACATCGCACACTCGCGTAATTCGTAAACGTAGACACAACACGTCCTCACGCAGTAACACCTGCGGTGCGACTGAAGCATCTAAACGCTATTACACCTTCCTAAAATGCTATTCCTCTGGACTGAATTAGTTACTGAATGATTTAGAACGTCTGAATTTAGACTGGTGGAATAAGCGCTTTATTCCTTGTTTATTAATAAAGGGGCTTAAGCTTAAACATGGACAAAAACGCCTGCTTAGTTGCAATTTTACTTACAAAAACTAACTCTACTGCGCAAGTTTGTTTGTCTGTGGTTTGCTCAAGATGTTTCCCACTACCACTTCAACTGATATTATCATAAACATATGCCTATAACTCCCAAAATCATAGTCAATTATTGATATATTCATCATCATCAACCTATTTATGTCCCTATTGCTGGACCAGGATATGCCTTCCCTATAGATGGAGATTGGGCCTTGACCCACCACGCGGGCCCAGTGCGGATTGATGGGTGCTCCCGACTGTAGATGCAGCCAGGACAAACGATTTAACTTGCCTTCCGAAGCATGGAGCTCGCGATAGTAAATTTTTGTCACCCATCCAATGTCTAACACTGCAATAGTGGCTTAACTTCAAGGATTTTAACCACTTGCGCCTTTGAACTCCTCTTGATATATTATATTGATAATAATATAATCTAATATATAAAATTCTCGTGTCACGGTGTGCGTAATTGAACTCCTCCGAAACGGCTCGACCGATTTTCGTGAAACATTTATATGCATATTCAGTAGGTAGTAGGTCTGAGAATCGGACAATATCTATTTTTCATCCTCCTAAATGTTAAGGGGTACCCTTAATTTTTTTTGGACATTTTTTTTTGTTTTTATGTCTTTATGATACATCATACAAAAATACATACAACCTAAATTTCACCCTTATACCACCAACCCCTATTTTTATGGCGGTACAAAGTTCGCTGGGGCAGCTAGTATTGATGATACATTAAGTACACTTATTTACTAAATTCATATTGTTTGATAGGTGCCGTCGATAGCGCACGTAAAGCGAATTCCACTCGCACGTGGAAGGAGGTTTGCTTCGCGTGCGTGGACGCGGGCGAATTTAGACTCGCTCAAATGTGCGGCCTACATATCGTAGTACATGCCGACGAATTGGAGGACCTCATCAACTATTACCAGGTAATTTAACGCTACAATGTACTATATTGATGTTAATATAGTATAATTGTCATTGTGGAAGGAGGTTTGCGACGCGGCCAAATTTAGACTCAAATCATAGATCATGCCGGCGAATTGGAGGACTATTAGAATATTACACGAAAAAAACGAATTAACCCAACACCACCAAAAGGTAGTGTTATATATTTTTTGTTGTCTTCTGTAAGGTGTAGGTTGCTTCCTCAGACGGGCGCTCCCATTCTATTGGAAAATCCTCTGTGCCTTGTGTCTATTGAATTCTCAAAAACTGGAGCATTAATAATGTACTTATCCACCAGGACCGAGGACATTTCGACGAGTTGATCAGCCTTCTAGAAGCGGCTTTGGGCCTGGAGAGAGCCCACATGGGAATGTTCACGGAGCTCGCCATACTCTACTCCAAGTATAAGCCTGCCAAGATGCGAGAACATTTAGAACTGTTCTGGTCCAGAGTCAACATACCCAAGGTGAGTGGATGTGGATGGAAATTTCAATTTTTCAGGCAAAGTTTGATAAAGTACTCTTTGGTAGCAATTTAATCTCAGAACAACAACTAAAGCACAGAAGTAATGCAATGATGTTTCAGCGTACTCGTACGAACAGTCTAAGCGGGAGACTGTACCTATTACCCAACCAATAAGTATTAGAGGCGTGTTGGCAGGTTGCATTTGACATTAGTTCGCTTTTTGATTCGGTATCGTAAAGGCAAGGTATTCGTACAAGGCGTACAAAGGCCAAAGATATACAATTTGACGTTTGTATAGTGGTACGCACGCTTTTCATAGTAACATATATTTGTTTCTTTTCTGGTCTATATGTAAAAATATAATAACTTTATGAGTTGAATTTAAACTCTTTCTATGAATTAGTTCTTGTTCTCAGAATTTTAACTTTTTAATGCACATGTATTAACTTCAGATCTTAGGTCATTATCTATTTGGTATTTAATTCAATATTATTTTTTCTTAATATTACTCTTTTCATATTTAATAACTAATATTGGTTGTTGCGCAATAAATTTTCTCAATTTTACCTTATGTGCTTTGTGAATTTTTTGGTTCTAGAAACAAAGAATGGCTCTTAAATGTTTTTTCTAAATAAATGTTTCGATAAGTCTAAATAAATTTTAAAAACTCATCTATTTTCCAATTATGAATTGAAGGTCTTTTATTTCATATTGCCTGAACTTGACTATTATTTTATACTCGCTAGGTGTTACGTGCGGCCGAACAAGCTCATCTCTGGTCGGAACTAGTATTCCTATACGACAAATATGAAGAGTACGACAACGCGGCACTTACCATGATGCAGCATCCCACAGAGGCCTGGCGTGAAGGACACTTCAAGGATATTATCACCAAGGTAAAAAACCCAAATTAAAAACTAAAATATATATCATCTTTCTAGGTATTTGGTCTCAATAAAAACTTAAAACATGACCACCAAGGTATTTGTCGTCATTAATTTGGTATTAGTAAACTTGTCATTGTCTGCCCCTTTCATTCCTTATAAAGCCTGATGGAGGCAGACTTTTGCCAAGTTTACAAATAGCAAAGACGAATACCCAAGTGAAGTGCCGGCATATAAACATCGTCAACAAGACATTATCAAAAGGTTCCTTAATGTAAACCAGAAATATCATGAAGGTATTTATTGTCAGTAAAATCTAAAAACATCATCAACAAGACATTTTAATTTTCAATAAAAACTGCGCAATGCTACAATAATTATTAAATAAGAGATGAAAGATATCCATCCATTCTAATTGAGGTTTTTAAACCTAAAAGTAAAACTTCACTTGATATTAGATTTACGTATATAACTCGCGCCTATAAAGAAAGGAATCGGAAATGACGACGAAAGACGTTCTGCCTGACTGTTGGGGCTTGTGCAAGAGGGACAGAATGTCTTGCGACGTTATACTTACATGTGAGTTTTATACTATAAAAATACAATTCTATTTTGTTTTTTGCTAATCGTATCAAATTCTTATTATACTCTTTCCACCTTACTAAACGTAGACTGTAGTTAAACCTGGACCAAAACTGATGCTGTCACTTTTGTTTATTAAAAGAAGACAGAGACAAGATGAGGATTAAACCAAGACTAACTTTAGTCCGCGTTTTGGAATATGGCGGCCAGTCTCTCATTACAAAAAATAAAAACAGCCAATTTCTACACCGTTTTCTCTCACATCGCAGGTGGCCAACATGGAATTATACTACAAAGCGATCCAGTTCTACTTGGACTACAAACCTCTACTACTTAACGACTTGCTATTAGTACTGGCGCCGCGTATGGACCACACTCGCGCCGTCACTTTCTTTACCAAAGCTGGACATCTTCAGTTGGTCAAAGCTTATCTGAGATCTGTGCAGAGTCTCAACAATAAGGCAGTGAACGAAGCACTCAACTCGCTACTCATTGACGAGGAGGATTATCAGGTATGTGAAATTAACATTTCATCATCATCATCAGCCTATTAATGTCCCCTCTGCTGGGACACAGGCCTTCCCTATGAACGGAATAGGGAGATTGGGCCATGACCCAACACGCGGGCCCAGTGCGGAGTAGCGAGTGCTACCACTGCAGATACAGCCGGGACCGCTTAACGTGCCTTCCTTAGCACAGAGGAACCGACCACTGCGAAAGTTGCTTAACTTCAATGATCGCAGCCGAACGCGCTAACCACCTGCGCCATTGAGCTCCTCTATAAACATTTATTTTTATTTCAATGTAGCGAAAATTACACAAAAAATAAATCTACGTGGTCCAGGAAGCAAACGGGATCTAGCCCATACTTTCAGCTATCTGGCCGGGCTTAAGAGTTTCTTAGGAGTTATCGGACTAAAAGAGTTGGTGGCGAGTAATAATAGATCTTGTAAGTCGCATTAACAAAATAGAGAAGTTCCATTGAGGACAGCATATCTCCATCTCAATAATTTTATTAAAAAAAATATATCTTAAAAGTTCCTAAGTTTAATCAATTGTAAACTTGAAATTTTACTGTAGTTTATTGTACTGAGGCCCAAGCGCGAATCTTGACAGCTCCCTAACCGTATCGCATCGTGACAGTTTCTATGAAAACTGAAAGCAGCGCCCTTTCCGGACATAAGAACAAACAGGTTCCTTCCATACGAAATTAAACGATACAATTATAAGAAAACTAACGGTTCGGTATTCGATTGACATTGTGAGGGACCTACAATGCGAAGAGATGGCGCTGCCTTGCAGCCTAAGAAATACTGTAAGGATTTAGACGCGGCCATTAGGGTAGCATAGTGGTCAGTGCTTCCGTCCAGATAGCGGAAGGTACGGGTTCGAGTCTCGTCTGCTGCCTGACCCGCGTGGAATTGTTTCTAGTAAAAATAAACTGTAGATATAAACATGTAGCAGTTAAATGCTTAATAAAATTAATATATATAAATTACGCGACACGTTGTTTTTCCGGAATGGACTTCTAAAGTACTTAATCGATTTTATTCAAATTTGCACACTGTGTGCAGTTTGATCCGAAAGGGATATAGGATAGCTTACATCTCAATTTATAGTCGCAATATTATTTTTGGCAAATTATTACTTTTGGACGGTACAAAGTTTGCCGAGTCAGCTACTATATAAATATAACTAACAGTTGTTATATAAAATAATGTTTGTGTAGGGTCTGCGAACGTCCATAGATGCGTTTGACAACTTCGACACAATTGCGCTGGCGCAACAGTTAGAGAAGCACGAACTCACCGAATTCAGAAGGATTGCCGCCTACCTCTATAAAGGTACGTGATTATTATAGAAGGAAAATGGGTTATAACCCTTCACCCATAAGAGAGGTAAGACATAGCTGATTTTCCGCTCGAATTAGAGCGCCCGTCCAGGGAAGGAACCTCCACATTACAGAAGACCACTGTAAAATAACACTGCCTTTTGGTGGTGTTAAGTTAATTCGTTTTTTAGGTTACCGTACCTCAAAAGGAAAAATCGGAACATTTGAAACCTCACCTTATATTAGTGAAAAAAAAAATAAAACCTACTACAAAAGGAAGAAGCCATTTGAACATTATGTTCGTAAATCAAATCAAATAGCGCGCGCTTTCGCGACTTCCGTCCCATTACACAAAATCACTCCCACAAATTGCAGGAAAGCGTGAGGAAAGATGTTACACATCAATATATTATGTAATCTATCCGTTACCCTAGTATCCCATAACCACGGAGTACCCCCACTAGAGTCCGCATCACGCAAATTTTGTTTGAAATCAAAATCGCCAAAGTCGGTGGCGTGCAGGGAGATCAGCCGCGTTGTGATTGGACACGTCAAGGTCAGATGATATACTCAGTGCAGCGAAGTGATGAGGGTAAGATCGATTTTAGAAAATATCGATATTTTCTATCGATAAATAAAGGACACCCGGCATTATGTGCCAAAGTTGTATACTTTTTTAATTTTTTTATCTGTGTTTCATAATTGGGTAACGTAGTCTGGCAATATTTGTCATCAGCAGCTAGCTGTCAATGTCAAATACGTAGGTTTGTCAATATAACCTCTATATGTAGCCGGGTCGTCAAGAGAAATAACGGATAAAAAGGCGGGATAGGATGCGAAATGCGAATGATTTTTTTGTTTGTATTTTAGGATTGTCAAATTGACATTTGGTTTTTTATTTAGAAAAAGCAAAGGAATCATGGATTTTACAGTCACTTGAGTAATATTTTCAAGTAAAATTCTGTCCCTTGAAGATTTAGGGTTTCCATATCAAAAAACATTAATCATTATATAACTTCTTTCCACGATTCACTAAAAATAAGGCAAAATTAGTTTTATGTAGCAAATAATTTTGGCTTCATTTTGAGACCAAATTCAACTGTATACAAGTTTAGCATTTTTTCTATGAAAAGTGCCGGTTCTCCATTGTACAGAGGCCTAGTACTTTGGTGCGCTAGTGTAGCTATGCGCAAACATACTCTCTCCACTTTCTTCCAGCGTTCTAATTACATGACGCGACTAGTAACTACATACTAAATAAAATATAAGCAACACAAAAAACACGTAAAAAAATATCTAGATAGACAATAATATGCTGTTTATGACAACTTTTAAAACTTAAGGCGCCTTACTCATCGGCTCGGTACAGGTTCGTTTTGTTTTCGGGAGTGACTGTCAGTGGTAAAGTGACGAGAACATATGTAACTGTTTACAGTTGGAGTCCAATCTTTACGTTTAGTTGCACTTATCCAAAGTTCCTTCATCTTGGCACATTTTGGAAACCTATGAAATAAATAAAACACGTAATGTTACTGTATTTTGATTCTCGCATCAGTCTGTAAGATTAAATATCTCTTTAAAGATTTTGCTCGTTGCTGTTCTCGTGAAAGGCACATGCGATATACAGACTTAATGAATTTAATATTAATACGGTGACGTCCGTGGCTCTTGACTTAGCACACGCAAAATAACCTAAGTATAACCAAATTATTGATTTTGAAGGAACTTTGTAAATACTTATCAAAGTTTATGCTAGCTACCACCCGCGACTTCATCCACGTTAACTTTAGTTTTTTGAAAATCCTAAAGAAACCTGACATTTTTCCGTTACAAAAAGTATTCTATACAACGATATTTTATACCCTAGATACGACAACATGTACAAAATCGTGGCCGAAACGTGACCAAAAGGTACATTTGACGATTCACAGAGGTCCGTAAGATGATCGCGTGGTCAAAAACAATGTAATGCATTATTTCAAAAAAAGTCACCTTTAATGCATACGGCATAAGCTCTTAATTAAAACGCATGCATCAAAGATTTATGGCAGTTCAAAATGCAAGTTCCTAAAATTTTACGACTTATTGTTATATGCGAAAGAAAATAGACCTTATTTTTTTTAACTTTTCGCGCTCAATTCTGAATGTGCTGTTAGCTATTATAGCAGGTACAGACCGCGAAGAAAAAAGACGGCTATAGGACGGCATGCTTTTGAGTATCACAAATATGTTATATTAAATCAGTTTATAGTAAGTATTACAATAAAATTTGCTTCAAATGCGTTAAATTTATAATAATAATAACGTTTATTTGGCTCAAATTATATAAATAACTTATTGTATTACATAAAGATGACTATGTACCAAATTATAAAAACATTAATTAGATACCTGTCGAAAAAACAACACTTTACGTACTATTAGTATTTTTTTCGCATTTTTACGGAGCTCTGCGGCATTTTGACTTTTCATCGGTCCGCGCGTGACTGTAAACCAAGAAGTGCTTGAATAAAGTTTAAGCACTTCTTGATTGGGACACATTTTGAGCGATCGTGGTCTATCTAGGGTATTTAATATCGTTAATTCCATGTCTTTATCTAGGTCATAAAGTATGCGCACTTAATTTCATACAAATCGGTTTAATCGTGTAATAGTAACAAACATCCATACAAATTTTCGGGTTTAAAATTTTAGTACGATATGATTAAAAACTGTTGGTTGTATACTCATGATATCTGTTATTGTATACGATGAAATAAATAGTTTTTATTTATTTTTTCTATTTCCGTAGCTGACAAACTTATCGATAAACTTACGGGTACAGACATGAGCTGAGTCAAGTCACTAGCAATACACGTGCCGGTGTGAGAGCGGAATAGCATATATGATGTAGCGCATGCGAGAAAGGGATAGTGTTAAAAGACATCAACGCGTTCACCAAAAAATAAATACAATTAAAAGCAATTTCATATAAGAGTATTTTTGTCTTTTTGTAATGCATTTAAACTTACAGGTGAAAAGTAATTCCATCTTTTTGAAGACTGGAAGTTTTACTTCACTTTCCACATAATTTAATTGCACAGCACGGCATTTTTTCTAGTTTTTTAAAGCAAAAACGAGAGAAGCACTTCTGCTAACGCTCGGCTTCGGAATGAAACGATGTATAGCGACGTCTGTGGGCGTGTCTCACGCATACGTAATATACTACTTAAGCTTGGCGTAAGCGCTTGCCCTTGTATGCGGACTCTAGTGGGGGTGCTCCATGCCCATAACACAAACCTAACAGTGCTTACTTTGGGGCTAGGCTAATTGGTGTGAGTGTTGAAAATATTTATTTATCTATTTCTATTTATTTTGCGAACAGGCAACAACAGATGGAAGCAAAGCGTGGAGTTATGCAAAAAGGACGCCTTATACGCGGACGCTATGGAATACGCGGCCGAGTCCAGACAGGCAGACGTGGCCGAGGAATTGCTCACCTGGTTCCTGGAGCGGGACAACTACGAGTGCTTCAGTGCGTGCCTATACCAGGTATAGTAATAACAATACTCATTTATACGCGGCCGCAAATATTATGCAATTCGTGGCGCAGTTAACGAAATGTAGGTTGATTTAGGCCAGGGATTGGTAAACTTATTGCTTACCGTACCAATATTTGCTATCAGATATATTGTTTTAAACTTTCATGGTCACTAACATTATAGGTATTAACGAGATTGTTATAGATCGCGCCAATCTTCTAGTCCGCTCTGAACACTGCACTTTTGTGGACTGTTGCAGCAGCATTATGCTAAGGCAGGGTCCTGATTGACCATAAACGATATTGTAATTAATCTGTTTTTTTCATCTATATATATATAAAACCCAAAGGTGACTGAATGACTGACTGACATAGTGATCTATCAACGCACAGCCCAAACCACTGGACGGATCGGGCTGAAATTCGGCATGTAGGTAGATGTTATGACGTAGGCATCCGCTAAGAAAGGATTTTGACCAATTCTAAAATAGGGAATGAAAGTTGTATGAAACTTTGTCAATTTAAAACCGATCGGGCTGAGACTTTGCGTGCAGGTATAAGAAGAATCATAGATGAATGTCATTGTGTATAATACAAGCCTGAGAACAAAAACTGTAGTCTACACTTCAGCTCTACACCGAAGCGAAGCGAGGGCGGGCCGCTAGTTACCTATAATTTTCAAAATAATATTTTTTTGTATGTTGTTTTGTGATGTAATGTGGTCAATTAAATGTTTCTCTCTCTCTCTCTACATGCTACTGGTTTAATATATTCTTATTGTTTTATTATAATTTCAGTGTTACGACCTCCTGAAACCCGACGTTGTCATCGAACTCGCGTGGAGACATAACATCATGGACTTTGCTATGCCTTTCCTTATTCAGGTAATTCATTTTATTTGTGTTCTTATTTTATCCAGTATTAATTAAAAGATAGCATGCAACTCGACACCTCGATGATAAATATTAGGTCTCTGGACTCCACTTTCACTCATCAGGTAAAGTGTGGAATCATCATCATCAGCCTATTAATGTCTCCACTGCTGGGGCACAGGCCTTCCCTATAGATGTAATAGGAAGATCGGGCCACGCGGGCCCAGTGTGGATTAGCGGGTGCTAACGACTGCAGATGCAGCCGGGACCAACGGCTTAACGTGCCTTCCGAAGCACGGAAGAACTCGAGATAGAAGATTTTTGATCACCCATCCATCCAATGACCGACCACTGCGAAAGTTGCTTAACTTCAACGATTGCATCCGAACACGCTAAACACCTGCGCCATCGAGCTCCTCATCATAATCATCAACCTATTTGTCCCCATTTTAAAGACAAAATAGTGAGAACGGCTCATAATCCAAAAACTAAACTTTAATGCCAAGCTGTCATAGTTACCAAATTAACTTTTCAAAGCTTTTAGTAGCAGTAGCGCATCTCAATATTTTTCTTTAAGTTCAGCGTGTTCCCCTTGTTTTAAGTCAATGAATATTATTGATTATTATTTTTTTATTTCAGACTGTTCGAGAGTTGACGACAAAAGTAGAAAAATTGGAAGAGGCTGACGCGAAACGGAGCACCGAGAGCGCGGAACACGAGGCCAAACCTGCCATGATTATGGAACCACAACTTATGCTTACCGCAGGTTAGTATAATAATAATAATATTCTTTATTGTAATACACCATACAAGACACACAAGTAAATTAAAACATGATAGACAGAACATACACAATATAGGTGGCCTTATAGCTAGGCAGCAATCTCTTCCAGGCAACCCATAATAGAAAGATAAATAAATATGAAGGCAAAAAGGAGGGATGCTACAGAAAAACATAATAATATCAATGGCAGGAAAACAGATCTATCTAAGAAAGGAAAGAGAGAGGATGAAGTAAAAAAAATTACACAATTGTTGCTGTTGGGATAGGAAATAACTCCGAACTTGATCCCTAAAAGAGTGCGAGCCTTTCGAATAGTTACTGGCAATGAGTTCTTGGAATTTCAAGAGAAAGGTTAGAATTTTCTTAAAACTCATTCATATATAAATAATCACATTCAGCCTATTAATGTCCCGACGAGGGAATTGGGAGATTGGGCCATGACCCACAGAGCAGGCCCAATGCGGATTGGTGGGTGCTAACGACTGCAGATGCAGCCAGGGCCAACAGCTTAACGTTCAACCACTACAAAGGTTTGTAATAATAAATTAAAAGAAATGGTGTCAAATGTAATAGTAAAAAATAATAAATTGTTGTGAAAATTACTTTGAATGGATAGGCCGAAATTAATAGGCTAGTTGACCCATTTTGGAAAAAGGTTTTAAATGGTTATTAAATGTTCTATTAGACCGAAAAAAAATGTATTGTATTTTTTTTAAACCTAGAAAGCTACAAATCTTTAATTTTAAAATAGACTTTTCATGGACATACAAAAACGCTGTCGGCCATTTTAGTCTATAGATTGTCTATGCTATGACGTGAACTGTGGTAAACAAAAACTCGTAAACACGTAGAAAATTACTTATAACTGAGTTAATAATAAAAAAAAACATGATTTCTTATAAATACCACGAAAAATAAAGTAATTATCATTACTGTATTGTACGAGAATATAAAAACACATCCTTGAAGACTCCAGGAAAGTTGTGGATTAAAGTGCCGAAAGAAATTAACCTACGCAACTTTATTACACTTATTCATATGTTGTATCAGTTTTATGTTTATTACTACATTGTAATACTAAATGCACTGTACTTACATAGATGCCTTGTCGTTTCTCTGCTCCGCAGAGCAGAAATCGGGGTTTAGTGCAACAAATTCACCAACCATCAATGCGTCAATTCTTGGCAGATTTGTGATTTCTGCTTTCACAAAGCCGGCATCCATAATTTGTTTAGTCAAAAAAAACTAAGTTTACTGTTTTTTTCTTTCCTAAAGTTAAAAGTGTTTTAAGATAAATTTAGTCAGACGAAAGAATCCACCTACAGTAACACGCGAATGACATTTAGTTGTTTACCATAAGAGACGTCAAAATCATGGCGAATGTGGCGAACAGCGTTTTTAGTGTTTAAAAAATATAGACTAAAAAATATTTTTTTAAATTTCTACAGCAATCTTCTGCTTTTATGAAGTGAAATCGATATATTAAGGTTCCTTAGACTAAACACTTTAAGAAATAAACATTTATTTAATACAATTCGACATGAGTAAACTAGCCTATTAAAAAGAATACTCGGGCGCCAGGCCGGCCACACTATCATTAAACCATATTAGCCGGGAAAGCATCGAACTATTAATCGCAAAGGGGGTTTATTGCAAATCCATACTCATTTTGGGTTGTCTATATATTGAAATTTACTACAAAATTACCTACGTCCAAAAGGGTTACTGCTAAATTTAGAAACTATTATATATACTATGACTCTACCAAGAAGTAAGTGAAAATTTTACCTTATGGGTTCTGGTACAACAATGAATTTGGAAAGTTACCGACCTCGCTGCATGCTCGATGGGTAGGTATGTCTGGTGTTGAGAATATTTAAGGACGGCCGTTGTTACATCACAGGGCTGTTCACTTCCACATCATGGGAAATGTTGAAATTTAAGTTAAAATCCAAATAAAAAAAACGCTTTTCGCTGGAAATAAACATTCCGTAGAATAGCACATGGCTGACAACAAAGGAAAAAATGTAAAACTAAGGAAATCACTAAGGTTCTTACCGTTTTATAAACAAATTAAGCTTGGGTCACGGCCCTCGCCATTTTGTACGAATGATGAAAAATGTTTCATCTGAAAACAAAATCAATCCTAATATAAGTTATTTACGGGATTGTTACCATGTACCTTGTTTTTAGCGAGTTTCCGATATTTCGGCACTGTTGCAAGCGCCATGATCACGGAGTAACTGAAGTAATTGCGGGTAGGCTGTTATTGGCAGACATATCGGTCTACCCTCCGACGAAGTCTTTTATTGCGTTCGATTGCCGTACCACTGTTCACATTCTCACCATTCACTCGAAACTGTTCTCGACACACAACACTTACAGTATCGGATCGCGACACGACACTTTTTTGATTATTTCCGGTTTTACACATACGAACCACAGGATTCCAGACACTCGACAATTTAAACCCGTCCTCACGATTGAAATTTTTATGTTTTGTTATTTCAATCGCTTCCCTGACCAATCTTGGTATGTAGTGGCGTTCTGTCGAGATAATCTGTGGGTTATGAAACTCAATCCAGTGGTTAGAACCAGAATCTATCAAATGTTCCGCGATGGCTGATTTCTGCGTATCGTTGTTCTTGATTGCTTTCATATGTTCCATCATTCGGCATGATACTGTTCGCTTTGTTTGGCCAATGTACGAACTGCCACAGCTGCAATCGATCTTATAGACACCAGGTTTCTCCAAGGGGAAGTTGTCTTTAGGAGACCGTAGGTATTGTGAAACCTTTCGCACAGGAGTGAAGACAGTGTTTAGTGAGTACTTATTCAGTATGTTTGAGATCTTGTCAGTCACTCCTTTGACGTATGGTATGGTTTACCATACCATAACCATTGGAGAAACCTGGTGTCTATAAGATCGATTGCAGCTGTGGCAGTTCGTACATTGGCCAAACAAAGCGAACAGTATCATGCCGAATGAGGGAACACATAAAAGCAATCAAGAACAACGATACGCAGAAATCAGCCATCGCGGAACATTTGATAGATTCTGGTTCTAACCACTGGATTGAGTTTCATAACCCACAGATTATCTCGACAGAACGCCACTACATACCAAGATTGGTCAGGGAAGCGATTGAAATAACAAAACATAAAAATTTCAATCGTGAGGACGGGTTTAAATTGTCGAGTGTCTGGAATCCTGTGGTTCGTATGTGTAAAACCGGAAATAATCAAAAAAGTGTCGTGTCGCGATCCGATACTGTAAGTGTTGTGTGTCGAGAACAGTTTCGAGTGAATAGTGAGAATGTGAACAGTGGTACGGGTATCGAACGCAATAAAAGACTTCGTCGGAGGGTAGACCGATATGTCTGCCAATAACAGCCTACCCGCAATTACTTCAGTTACTCCGTGATCATGGCGCTTGCAACAGTGCCGAAATATCGGAAACTCGCTAAAAACAAGGTACATGGTAACAATCCCGTAAATAACTTATATTACTATAATGTTAGTGACCATGAAAGTTTAAAACAATATAAAATCAATCCTCTTGTAAATTATGGAAATATATGAATAAAAACACTTACCATTAAAAACAATCGATAATCTAATGGATTATCAAGTTAAAAATTTAGATTAATATATGACCATCTTTTTGGTCTAGATTTTCGTCGTGAAGTGAAGTGACATTAGTTTTTTCTTAAGTTCGTTTTCTCTTTCCGGGTAGGTAAAGAGAACAACGTCCATACAGCTTACTGCTTGATTAAGGCAGAAACATAATTATTCAAAAGTGCATAGATTAAAGAAAATGGACTTGAGATAAAAACGAACAGAGAGAGACAACCTAAGAAAGTCTTCTATCTCGCTCTTCGAGCGAAGGAGATTCATGTAACGTTTTTAACACGTTACAGGTTGAATGTACTTGTATTTTTATATGCACAGCTAAAATTAGCTATAACCATACACAAACCATGCACAGCTAAATTTGAAACCGAAAGGGAAGTGAAAAGGATTCTAATGTTTAAAAATTGTTGTCAACTAACAGCTTGTCTAACGTTGACTATCATTATCTGGCAACCTGTAAAACGGTCCTAACTTTAGTTCAGGCACCAGTCTCCATAGCCAAACATTTTTAATAATATCCATAATGTTATTGTTAAGTACAAAATTATTTAAACAAAAAATAAAACTGACTTCAAAATCGAAAATGAATTCGATTTGATTTTGAAGTCTGTTTTACTTTATGATTTTTTTTTTATTTCATCCATTTTAGTGAAAATAACATCGTCCAAGTAAGCAATCACAAAATAAAGCTGATTTACTATTATCTTCCACAGGTCCATCGATGGCGTATCCCGGAGTGCCGGCCCAAGCATCGCCTTACGCCTACGCGGCGCAGGCCCCTTCGCCCGCCCCGTACCACGGGTACGGCATGTAGGGCCCCGCTCCGTACTCATGGCCCGCCTACATCAAGCATTGAGTGAACGAGCCAGTGACACTTACCTATATAGTGCAGTGATAGTGATAGCCAGTGTTGATGCCTGTGCCAGTGATTGGATAATCTAAATCAGAAATTAAATGGTTCATAAATAATGAAAATATAGTGATATATGATTTTAGTTGTCTTCCTCAAAGGCCGACATAGCATTCTGGCGTTTCAGCCCTAGCATTAGCACCGCGATATGTCATATCGCTTGTTTTTAACACGCCCAATTCAGCCCCTTTAGCATGAGCACTGCAATATGATATATAGCTCGTTTTTAACACATTCAACTGTCAAATTACTATGGAGTTTGACAGTTAGACGCGACAAAAAACGTGATATAATGTAAATTGTGGTGCTCATGCTATGGGTACTGGTATTACTATAGAGTTTGACAGACGTGATACAAAAAGTGATGTAATGTTAACATACCAAATACTGACCTTTGGTCTATGGTGCTCCTCATTTAATGTCATTAATACACCTTTAACAACAATTTGTTTTTTGAGGTCCTGTATTTGTTTTAGATAAACCAGATTCTACATAGAAACCACGCGTAAAATCTACCTGCGTGACATTGGCGTTTTTTTTGCTATTTTGTTGTTATTTTAATATAAATAATGAGAATGTCTAGGTAACTCTGTTAGGCGTTAATCTTACTGGAGATTGAATATTTGCTAAACTTCAAGAAAGTGGAGATAATTGTTAACCTAAGGTAATTTTTTAGGATTCTAACGAATTACTATCTGAAAATTTAACAGGAATTAGTGAAACTGTCTCTAAAAGATCGGTTTGGTACTTTTACATTACTGTAGTAGATATTTATTCTTATCACGATGGCGGCGTGGCAACTCTACATCTGGACACAGTAATAACATAAAGTTTGATTAAAAAGACATCAATTATTATCCAATCACTGGTTATTAACATCTGATGACGTTAAAGTGTGTAGTGATGTCCTAGCTGATAGCTCATCTGGTCGCAATTACGCACGAAACAACATAGTATCGAGTACCACATGTTATTGCTGCTGACGGCTTGTATCATTAATCTATTCAGATTTTGCTGTACCATTTGGCAGTGGTATGGTATTTTTCGAACAAATTAAACAAATTATAGTGTTAAAATTGAGTGAAGTTTTACTGCAGGTATTTTAGATGAAAAGCAGTTTGGTTTCTATAGGTACACGCCACTGCCATTGGTAATATGAAACATTAATGGTATTTCTTAAAAATACAGACTTCATTGCGTACATTCACTTGTATGTATCTAGTGTGAGTTTTGAGACTAAGTTATCACACACTTGCACAAAAGTGTCTGTAGGGAGACATTATATCTCCTTTGGAGTGTCAAAACTTGTCCTAGGTACTACACGAGATTGTTTCATACTCTGGCAAGGCCTAATAATGTATTTACTCACATCCCCTCCTTTCTTAAATAGAAGTAAAAGTGTCATGTAAGTTACGGTTGCGAGTGCACGCATAAATATCAACAAATACTAGAAGAGAGCTGATGGTGTGTGAAAATAAATAAAATTGTTAGCTGTACAAATTATATTGATTGCAGAGTAGCTCTCATGAATTAAAGTGCTTTATTTTTGTCAGTGTTGAGGAGCGGATATTATAGATAAATTTAATCATCTCCCAGCTTTACGTGATGAAGGGATGTGATTTGTATTTTAGTAGTTAAACACCCAGTCGATTGTCGACGTTATATGTTTAGCGGACACTCGATTGTTTGTGTCTAAATCTACTTTGCTGTTGAATCACTTTGCGTATTTGTAGTTAGTCTATGTGCTCGCATGTTCAAATTGTTACAGAAGTTTTAGAATGTGTTTATGAGATTTATAAAAAAATATTATAATGTTCTTCATCTTTTTACATTCATCATTTCTATATACCTACCCAAATATGAATAGTATAGAAGAATAATATTAAATTTAATGTAAATTAATTGATGTTTTTCGAGATTGAGCACCTCGTCTCTGTAAAACAAAACTTACTTGTGCAGCTGCAACCAAATGTAGGTTTGCTGTCGAAGATTAGTAGATCTGCCACTAGGTGCATAGTAAATAATATATTTATGTACATAGTGGTTGCAAAAAGCGACATTATCACTTAGAAATTGTACTAAAACAAATTCTGCGTTTTGTACAGCGTATCTATGTATTTGCTTATGTTACAGTATCTCTGAACAAAATATCTTCTATTTTTTCTACAATATGAATATAGCGGTGCCTTTCGACCGTTTTAGACTGTGCAATAATAAATTCGATTTAAACACATAAAAAAAAATGGCAATTTGTAGTGTTGGAATTAACATCTCAATAATATGTAAAACATTGACTATCTTCACATTCATATTTGTATATAATGCTTTTACAGCTGTGCTTTCGTCCATAGGCCAGTTGAATTAATTTAATAACAGCACTGGATTAATCGAGTTTATTATAATAAAATAACTAATTATTTTCTAGATGTATTTAGGTTTAGCTTAGGTGGAATAGTGAGCGGTAAGATGTTATTATTTTGAGTATTGTTTGCGTATGTGTATGAGACTTGTAACTATCACGCGTGTCGGTTTAGTTGCGTTGTTCTAAGATCGATCACACTTGATTGAAGCCTTCACTAGATTATATAAGTCGTATGTTATGTAAAAAGTCTTTCTGGGTGTTGGCTCTAAAAGTTTTCTTTCAACTGTTCTACCATAGAGACGACTAACCAGTTTTGCCGATTGTGTTTTCCCAGAGAGACAAATAGCCATTATTATACCATCAAACTCCACATGATGTTACATTTATGTAACACATTTGACTGTGAGTTGAATTAAAATCATTAAATGTTAAATATTCATTATTCAAATAAATCATTCCTATCATTACAATTTATGATCAGTAATATCGTTATTATTCTTTTACATGTTTCTTTATTAATAACAAATTTATTAACTTAAAAATGAGGAATAATTCATTGTTTATTATTAGGATTGTATTTATTCATGTATGATACTATTTCCCTGAATTTTATTATAGTAAGAATATATTATATGAATAAACAGCAGCTGAGTTTTATTTAGAGAACACATTGATCTCACGAGTTGAGTTATACGCGTAAGTATTAGTAGGTAGATAACGGCTCATCCACAGGACCATCAGAGGCCTAGGCACGATTTTTGACAGCTCCGTAACGTATCGCATCGTCATAAGGTTTAGCTGGGGGCCAATCCCCTAACGGAAATGCTTTGGAAAACGCTAACGCTTACGATTTTATTTTGTTATTACTAGCCGCCTGAGGTATTCAAATGCCTCGCGCTCTTTCTTTTTCTTTTGCTTTGGTAATTGTTGCAGAACCATGTAGGTTTCATGCTCCATAGTGTATTTTATATTCTTTTTGATATTGTTTTACTTTTGTTTCTTTTCTTGTCAATAAATTATTACTACAGTCCACAAGAATCTTTGATTCCTTTTCATATTTTTGGTCCTTCGAGCCGGATATTGACTGTGAACAGAGAGCGAGGTTAGGCATCGAACGCGCGTTTGTGATTTCGTAACTTTCGGCTTGGTATCTGCCTCGAATGTGAAATGAAACAAAATTTACTTTTTCTTCTTCAAACATTCCGCCTACGCCCTCTACGCGTATGTCACCAGCGGGCCCGGTTGCGCCGATACGATTGGCTAAGACCTGATCTATGAGAGTGGCAGTAGACCCCTCATCCAGAAGTGCGTAAGTCTCTACAGAACACTTAGGTCCGGAAACAACCACTGGGACAATTTTGAGAAACACGTGACGTTGTGCGGATTTCGTATTCACTTTGCGAGACAAAAGTGGTTCATGAGTATTGTTTACCTCAGTTATGACCGGTGTTGACGCCGGTTTGGCCGACGGTGGTTCATGGGCAGTGTTTACCTCGGCTATAACAGGCATTGGTACCTGTGGGGGCGACGTCTTGATAGTTGACGAAGCGCCGTGTAATAAGGCGTGATGAGAAGCGCGGCAACCACGGACACCGCACACCTCCTTGCATAATTTCCACCGGTGGTTCTTTTTCTTTAGGCACCGAAAGCACCGACGCAGCTTCATTACGAAGGCCAATCTGTCATCAGGGATAAGAGATTTAAATTTGGAACAATCTACTAAAGGATGACTAGATTGACAAAAGTCGCACGTCGTGTCGGATACTTTTGTCGCATGGATAGTATCGTGACGACGAATTCTATCCAGATAAGGTGGATTATCATAAGTTTGGGAAACTAGGCCAAAATGTATGTGATTTCTAGCTTCTTCGCTTAGAAATTTTGATAAAAGTTCAAGTTTAGTATGACTGCTCGAATGTTTCGAAGCATAATGCGCGAATAATGTACGTAATAAGGGTGTTAATTTCAAAAGTAAGCAATTAAACAGTTCCGGTGAATATACGTACTGGTTATACGTACGTATAGAATGTACGTACTGGTTAGGGTGGCCTTTGCAGCATCGGGATATTTAGTGGAGTTTTCGGTAGCGTTTTTATTTAAAACGTAAATTGCGCTACATGGACTAGAAGTGGCGCCGAAGATCATAGAGCTCATTCGGTATTCCTTGATGGGAGCGTTAGGGTTACCACCCTCCCGCCAAAGAAATCGTTGCATGTCCCTACCTATTTCGGCAAAAATTTCTTTATCAATTCAGTCATCTCAACCTTCCATTCCGTCTCCTGCAACGTCTCCCCAGTTATCTCCACTCAATTCAGAAGATGTTGATCATGCCGAGCTTCATATTTTGCGGCAGAGTCAGTCAGAGTCCTTCCCTGAAGAGTTAAAGAGTCTCAGAGCTGCCACACCTATTTCGAAGCGGAGCAAATTAAAAAATCTTTCTGCGGCGTTAGATGAATATGGAGTCATACGGCTGTTTAGTCGTATATCTGTCGTCGAAGATGTTCCTGATACCGTGAAACGGCCGATTATTTTAGATGCTCGT